ACTTTGCTGGGCTTCAACTTCATGGATTAATCAACTGGCATGATTGTATTAGTTTTTGCCAACAGGGTCAAGCTGACCAGCAGCCAAACTTTCAAGGGTACTCCTTGATGACGCTCATTTTTCAAGGAAATAATATTAATCATATTTCATGGGAAATAATTAAGAAACCAACTAGGAATGATTAACAAAAGATGTACCACACTGATGTCCTTCTATGGCTGTCACATCACAAAATTCCCAGGGATAGTAATTTTAACCTCTGAAAACATTCTACCTAGAAGTGCATCTTTACTGCCCTACACCAGATCTCTAAGTCCAGAGCAAACTATACTCATTTGAATTTAAAAAATATTCTTGCGTGGCACTCAAAAATGGAATAAATGGAAGAAGGGTTTCATTCTGCTCAAGCGCAAATTTAAAGAAAAAGTTTCTTTTGATCCTGCTGCAAGTACTAAATCCATAGGTTTCAAAATTCTGAAGATTAGCATTTACATACATTAATAAACTAATCTCAAGACTATACTAAGTGCAGTAAAACAAAAAAATCTTTAGATTCTGTGAGGTTTATAAGCTTGAGTTTAGAAAGAGCACAAGTTTAGGTTTTGAATCCTCAATAACTAAATCAAATTGTCTGCAAATAATGCATCATCTTGGATTTTCCATGATCAGAACATTCAAGTCTAGTGCTGAATTTCAGCAACGGATTAATTTATAACTCATTATTGAGAGCCATTTGACTGAGTTATCGGTGTCCAGTTGGTGAATGGACAACCCAGGTAACAGGTAAAATAGAGTAAGATCCCTGGAATCAACACTTGACACTTGCTATGGAAGTATAAGCTTAAATATGGAAACAAAAACACTTAAAATGAAGGGGCTTAATTTTATAAAATATCAGGTTCTATTTCTTTCTTTTTTTTTTTTTTTTAAGATTTTATTTATTTATTTGAGAGAGAGAAAGAATGAGAATGAGAGGGAGTGGTCAGAGGGAGCAGCAGACTCCCCACCTAGCAGGAAGCCCGATGTGGGACCCGATCCTAGGACTCCAGGATCATGACCTGAGCCGAAGGCAGTCACCCAACCAACTGAGCCACCTAGGCGCTCTCAGGTTCTATTTCTACTTGTTAAATTAACCCAATGTAGATAAAATATACTCAATTTTAAAGGGACAGAAATTTATGTAGGAAAACATATCAACACATGCTCGGTACATTATAAATTACTCAATAAATATTTGTTGCATGAATAAACTTTTCTAAAATTGCAGTAAGCAAATGTCAAGTTTGGCTCCTTAAGTACCTAAGACAGGAAGGCAAGCTTCAAGAATAATGACATGTAAAGCTCAATTTGATGCATGTTACCCAGTGATATACTCTTAACTTCTAGTTTTAAAGGTAATTATTTTCTGGGGAAAATAAGAGATACAAAAATCTTTAGACCAAAATGACAGCCAGGTACAAAGAGATCTTCAAACATATTCATTTCTACATATTATGATTGCCAAACATTAAGTATCGCAAGCTTACAACTGCTATTTTTTAAGGCTCAGTAAAAATAGAAAATTAAACCTTTAAGTTAGACTGACCATAACTTATAATGCCTAAAGCAGCTATTCACAAAATACATACTTAAGAAATGTCACCTAATGATTTCAAGCATACTTCATGAATTCTTCCTTAAAAGAATTTTCCACTAAATTGTTTACGGGCTCCTTAATTTTATACGACCACCTCCGCCAAGGGAAAGTGCTAAAAGTAAATCTCAATTTTAAAACATTTGCAAGAAGATATGCTGAAAGAGAAAGAAGTGCTTTAAAGTATAGCATTGGTTTTGAAAGTGAGATACTTCATCAAAAAATGAGACCAAGATAACGAAACTTTACAACAAGCCTCTTCACATTTTGTGAGATAATACATAACAAATTATAATTTAGCATCCCTGATCTTCTGAAGAATTAAGAAAAGAGGTAGAAAACTTTTATCTGGAAGATCTCATAGTGAAGCTAATTTTAGAGGGTGTGCCTTGCAGTTTAGCCCACCAAGCAAATGATTACACATCTACTATTAGGAAGAAGCAGAATTCCAAAAAAGCTGAATAAGGCAAGGATTTAAAAACTGTCGTATTTTGGGAGTGAAACAAATTCAATGTTATTATCCAAACTACTTTAAAACTCTTCAAAAGCCAAAGTAAAAGATTGTAGATAAGCAAAGTGCTAATTGTCAGAAATGTGAAATTATTCAAAAGAGCATTAGTGGCCAGATAAGGCTAGCATGGAAAAAAATACTGTTTAGTTGAGCGAAAGATCTCACAAAAACCAAATCAAAGCACAGCATTATCACTTTAGATGAAGGCTGTTTTTTAGGAGTTGAGAAAAAAGCTGAGGAAAGTTAATCCTCCCAGACAAATGTTTATGTAAAAAACCAAAAATCAAGCACTCGATTTCAAGAAACTTGCATTAAAAAATAAATACCCTGCTTAATTTAAATGTTTTATCTAACGAGACAAACATCAATAAATGAGTTGCATTAAAATATGAGGCCAACGGTCTTTTAAAGCTTTAGTAAGCTGCTCAGGCACCTTTTCCCTCATACATTCTACTTTTATACACTAGAAATCCTAAATTGGGCACTATCAGTTCCTTAGGTAACATTCTCAAGGAACACACTCATCCCTGTAAAAATTGCTTGTAATGTACTTATAACTGATTAAGTACATACTTATAAAGTCTACCAAATTGTAATATAAAATCGGTTTTGACAATTCTGAGTATCTTCATTCGAGGAATCAATTCATAATTTAGAAACTATTAACTCAATCAGAGTTTTTAAAAGGACTCAATTATGGAGACATCATGGTTTATGTCCAGTGGCCTCTAGTGAGGCCTTCTGCGTTACTCAAAATATCAAGTTGTTTTCTTCTACAGGTTAATGCTGCTGGGTGCTAGTTTACAGTACTAAAATTCCAATCTTCAGGTTAGTGTCAGTAGGTAGCAAGGACCACCTATTCTGTGACGCCAGTAGAGAAAGGGCATGTATCACCACTGTAGACACACATCTGTAAACTTGCACACTAATTTTAATCTTAACAAGGAATTTCAGTGTCTTAGTGGTTTTAAGTTAAAAAGACGGTTCAAGCATTGTGTCCTTTTGTTCTTTACGGTTACGAATAGCTTATTGGAAAACCCAGAGCCTTCTGGATCTGTGAGGTAGTTGGCGGCAATCCTCATCATGCATAGATCACACTTCTCCGAAGTTGGTATGGCCTGTTTCCTTGGCATGGTCCCTTGCTTCTGCTTGTCCAGTTAATCCCTTCTGACATACCATGCATCTCAGGGTGAAGCGGTTTACATCAGTAAATTGTCTCTTTCTTCTAGCTTCATCTGCTAATTCCAGTGCTTGTACAAGAACAATATCATCATTAGAGGAGAAAATGGTCAGAGGCGGGGTGTCTGGGTCAGGGAAGTTACGCTGAAGTGGATCATAGTGGATGCCATCATATATAAGCAGGACCCTTTTGGTATATCCTGCATCTTCCCCAAAACGATCAATTCTTACTGTCTGTGTATCCACTACACATATTTCACACTGATAAAATTTAGACAAAATTGATATCTCAATAGCTCCTCCCCAAGTATCATCCCTTTTGATCCAGTCACAGTACTCTTGATTTGTTTTTCCCAGGATTGCCTCACTATAGAAGTCTGGATCACTTGCTACAATTTGTGCTATGAGGCGTCTCATCTCAGGGGCACAAGCTGGATTCAAGACTCCACCTTCTACAACATAGTATACACTGGTAAAGAGGCAAGAGTTGTCTGCTGGGACCACAGTTCTGTTAAGCACAGGCAAAGTTTCCCTGACGTAACTAGGAGCACCATGTTTTGTAAATGCAGGTGACGTTTTGGGCCTGGTTTGGTCTTCTTCAACGATGAGCATGTCGCCTGTTAAAAATAAAACAAACCCAGAACTGCAGAGAAATTACTGATGAAAGTGGTTGTTCACTAGCCAAGTCTTTAAAGTTACAAACAGAAGGAGCTGAAGTATAAACTGGCTTACTAGGGAGAATACGAACAGGCAAACAGTAACACTTCTTGTTCACTCCTTCTCCGTAAAGATGAAAACAGAACAAAGAAGAAAAACATCTTAGGCTGCATTCCAATTCAGTGAAGGAGCCCTGGTTATACACCTTTATGCTTACTTAAAAAGATACATTTCAAGAACAAAATTTCCTTAATCCTTCCTCTCTGCATTCTGAAGAGTACTGTGACTTCCAAAAAGTGTTCACCCTAGACTAGACCACTAGGGGGTTCTCGTTCCTCTGAAACTTAACATAGCCACCCTGTTTAGTGTTTACAGGATCTTTGACACAACAGCTGAAAGCGTTTAATGATCAATATTGCTATTCAAGTTTTGATACTGGACAGAAATAACTGCTACTGTTTAGAATCTGAAAGGGCCTCCAGTGGATGTGTAAAACCGTACTCTAAAATGAGTATGCGCGAAGTGATTGTTTAGCGAAGTATACGCGAAGTATACGCGAAGGTGATTGCAAAAAACAACCGGGGAAGCAAAAAAAAGAAAAAAGTGTCCTGAACACTTCAGACCTGCTATCTTCTTCCAGGTTATGGGGGAAAGAGCCACCAGGACAGAGAAGATAGATCTCATTTTTCTTTCTTTCTTTTTTTTTTTTTTTTTACTTTTGTGGATACAGAAGGAAAAACAAAATGAATGAGACGTTTTCAAGGTAGACTGAAGAAAGGGGGGCTCCGAGGCTTTGGGCTTCTCATGTAGGTTGGGTCCTCGCTCTCTCTTCCCATCATATATAAAGTCGAGGACTTGCTAGCCACCTGCCCGGCCTCCGTCAGAGTTCTCCGTTATTTAACCCATCTTTATCTCTGTTCTCAAACCCCCCAAATGACCCACAGACCAGTTCTCTGTTCTCCCCCACGCCCCTCTTCGTCCTCCCAGGGTTTTCCCTGGCCCCGGGCTCAATTCCCTTACCTGACTGGATGGGCAAATCCCCAAGAATGGTATCCTCGTTGCTGAGGTCCAGGCATTCGGGCGGGTATCCGACGAGGATTCGCTGACAGCCGGGGGCGATCCCGGTGATGGCGGCAATTTGACTCTGGAGTTCCCGCACTCGGGTCCGGCTAGACAACCCCTGCAAAACATGGGTGCCATCCTTGGCTTTGCAGCGGAGCCGCCACATCGTGTCGGTCCAGCTGCCCGCAGGCCCCACAGTCGTGGGGCCAGCTTTAGTCCCGGCAGCAGGTCGGCCAACGCCGCCGGGGCAACCAGCCGCCGGATGGACTCCAAAATGGCCACCCTTTGCCGGGCCAAACATCGCGAGAAATCGCTGGTGGCCACAGATCTCGCGATAGTTTCCGGTAGCGTAAGCTTTTAGGGCTTTAAGGAGCGCGAACTCTTTTAAAGAGACAACTAACTCACTGCGGCCAACCCTAGGGAGCCAAAGGATGATTTATCCGTATTCCTAAAGTACCAGTGGCTTTGCTACCTGTAGAGTAAGTGCGGTGCCTTGTGTGTTGGCAGCATATATGCTCAAGGAGAGAGGGCGGAGGAAGGAGTCCTGAATCTGGTACATCGGAATGTAACCTTGCGTTAGGTCGGTAATTATTAAATTGGGGCTTCCAAATTACACGGCAAAAATAGAATCATCGTTCAGAACGCAAACGAATGCCAAGAATGGCCAGTGAGTCAAAAGACCTGCCAAAACAACCAGACACTCGTGACCAGACTCATGGCTGCAGCAAACATTGACTCATTGAGGTTAAGGAAACCGGACCGGCCTTGCCACCTTGACGCCGTAATTTGAAAAGTCCCATTTGCCACATCAGAAAGCGCAGTATGAGGTCAGCATCTGGGCCTAGGGCAATTGCTACATTTGGGTGGTAGCAGTATAAGGAGGAGGAGAGAAGAGGACTAACGTGTGTCATCAGGATTCCAGTTCAGGCCCTGGGTGTACTGATAGGAAGACGACTCCATTCTTGACTTTAGTATTGCAAGTACTGTCATCGGTACAGAGGGTCGGGAGTAAAAGGTCCATAACCATTGAATTTCACAGCCACGTGATAATGCTAGACTATGTGACTTTTTCCAGCCCTGTGTCCCTAGAACCAAGGACTGTGCCTCCCATATAAGTGCTCAATACAAACCTGCCAAATGGATAAAGGCAGTTGTACTGGGGCAGATAAGGCAACCATAACGCAACACACTGGGAGTTGTAAAAAGCTCCAGAAGGGGACACTAGTGGAGCTGTTCTGAAGGATGAATTTAATCCCCAGCTGAAGGAGGCATAAAGACATCTCTGAATTTCCCTTTTCCAAGAAATCCACATTCCTTGTTCTTTTTCCATCCTGGATTGGAAGAAGCACGCCTGCATGGAGTGGGTTTATCAGCAAAATCAAGCATCATCAGAAGGGCCTGGGGGCAACGTGAGAAGTTCGCTGGAAATATGCAGTTTCCCCTCTACTATAACAGCCTATGTCTACATCTGAGTTATATGGAAGCTTTGCCTCTTTTGACTCCTTTTGTGATCCATTTTTTTTTGCTGAAGCTATGTTCCTTTTTTTGTTTTTCGAAACTACCCGAACAGATGGTATAGCATAGGAGGTAGGAACGAGGATAACGGCGACGAGTAGAAGACCACTGGAGTACGCGGATGGGTCCGGGATGAAAGAGTAGTTGATTTTCTGAGGCTACAGTGTCTGGCCGATGGGTAGGATGCAAACAGCTAAGGTGTAATCAGCTCAAGTACGGTGGTAGCTCACGTTAGCAACGCACCACCTTCTAAGGTTCCCGTTCCAATTTATGGATCTAACAAGGTCCTCTGAGATTCAGGGAGGAAAGCGTTAACCTCCACAACGTTTCAGTGACCAAAATGTCACATCCCCTCCAGACGTCGGTGTCGTCCACTCTCGCGAGAGTATGAAAAAAAAAAAAAAATCCTGCATTTTATTAACCCCGCCCCCAGCCCGATGAGTTGCCTAGCAACGAGGCAACCAACCTCCACAGCGTGAGGAAACTTGGGAGCTTGCGATCTTCAGGCTTCGGTTTCTTCCACCTTCGCGAGCTAGCGTCAGCGATTCCGATTTGAGCCCCGCCCCAGGGAGCCTGCGGGCGCGGGATTGGCCGATGATTCTCTCCAGGTGAGGACCGACGCCAGGGTGGCGGAGCCTGACAGGGGCACGTGATTTGCCGGCTACTGGTGTGCCGGGCCCGGACCACAGTGTGTCAGCTCCTGTCCGCAGCCTAACGGGACGAGTGCCGGGGCCACTGTCGGGAGGGAGCTTAGGAGGGATCGTAGGGTGAGCGGAGGCTGTACGGCGCCTGGAAGGGCCGGGGCGGGCGGGAGGAGGGGGCCTGCGTACACCCGGGTGAGGTGCGGGGTGGTGATGCTTTGCAGTTTTCGCGCAAGTGCCGGCATTGCTGGGAGTGCGGACGTTCAGGCACCGGCAGCGGCGTCTGGTGGTTGGGTTGGAGGATTTGTGTGGTCAGTGGAAGAACAGTGCAAGGTCCTTGAAGCAGCAGGACCTCCGGTCCTCACGAGCCCCTTGTCTGGGTGTGCGGCGTGAGCACAAGGCTATCCCACCCCGGTTCGAGTCAGGACTTCTTATGCAGCGGGTGACCTTGGGGAAGTTATTTACCACCTCTTTGCGCCCCAGTGTTCTTACAGACTGCGAACCGAGGGATAGATGGGAAGAGGGTGCAGGGCAAGGGCTTGAGAATGAGAACACTCGAGGAGAAATGGTGACATGCTAGGGTCGTCACGGGGTCCAGTTACAGTTTTTCCTTCAGGGAACATGTTTGGGATTTCCTCACTGCTCCCACATCTGCCAGGACTGAATTCCTGCCATTGGACTGCGGTGACTTTATGCTAATGAACTCGATCTGTTTGCAACCCACCTCATCCCCCACTTCTGCCAATACTCTTCCCAGCTTTTTAAGCCAGAATCTGAGGTCAGGAAGGAACTTGGATAAGCTACCTGATTTGATCAAACTTAGCTTTTCAACCTGTAAATTGGGTGAAAGTAACAGTGGTAGCAGAATATTACCTATGGAAGGATTATTAGAAGGACTGAAGGAGCTAATTTATGTGAATGTAACTCCTAAGTCAGCATTAAAAAGGGAAGGTTCTACTGCAACTCAGTCTATAGATTAGGAAACAGGGCTCGGGAGGACTATCAAAGGGCATGTAGCTGTTAACTCTGAGCGAAAGGGCTGGGCTTGACTCTTGGCCCACGATTCTTTCATTTCTACTGCACCTGTCTTCTTCACTGAGTGTTTGGAGGGATGCCTCCTTCCTTACATTCCTTTTGTCCCTTTCAGACATCTACTGAGGAGCTGCCATGTCTGGGAATACTGCTTCTTCATCACAACAGAACAACAACAGCTATGAAACCAAGGCCTCCAGTCTTCGAATGTCAGAGAAGAAATGTTGTGAGTCTGGGGAAAGAGGAGGGGCTGCTCCCTCCCAGGATTTTATCTTAGGAGTGTAGTTGTAGTCCTAGACTTTGATGTTTGGTGGGAGTGAGAGAGAATTCTTTGACATGGGAATTTAAAACCAAGTCTACAAGGGGAATTTCTTGTGTGAAACAAGTAGGCCCCGTGAAATGTCTGTCACTGGGGCTAGACTGCAGGTCTTTGACTGTCTCGTGGGGAGACCTGCACACTCGACTGATGTTGAAAGTTACCCACTCGGTGATTAAGGCAGAGTGGCAGGCGCAGGAATTACTTAGGGCTGATACTGTTAACAGTTTCCCTTTACCTGGGGGGCTAAGTTTTTGTGAAGGTGTGGCTCACTGCAGAAATTGCAGGTAAGAGCCAGTAGGAGTTCATTTTGGCAGGCCTCTGGGGGAGTTAGGTCTGCCATCTGACCTCTCACTCTGACTTGGGCACCCTGCTCTCCCTCAGGGTTAGCCTTCGCATTTTGCAAGCTGTTTTTCCTGCAGGTTCATTTCTCTAGGGACAGGTTTCACCAGAGCCTTTCCATGCCAGTTCTTTAGACAGAGATGGCAGGTGGGTTTGCAGAGAAATGAAGCATCATTTCTTCTCCCCTGGCACCTGCATTCCTAACCCTCATTGTAGCTCGTATGGGCAAAAAGTTCTGGGCAACTGGCCCCTACAATTGTGGGGGAACCTCAAGGAATGCTAACCCTTGCCCTTGCTTCCAGATGCACTTTTCCTGTGGAACCCCGTTTGTCAGTTCTCACTTCATTGGTCATGTAAATAGGAGGTGGAAACAGCCAGCCAGCATGAGACCTGAAATCGTGTCATGTTCAAAGCTTTCCCCAGAGTCTTGACCTTGATGTTATATCCTTGTCAGTCTCATGATTAATGATAATCTCTTTTCATCTAGCACTGATGAAGCTTGCTGGGCTTTGCGTGGCAACAGAGGCAGCTTTTTGGATGTGATACTGGGGTTGGCACACCTGTGTGATTAGGGTCTCCTTTCTCTGCCAGGGCAGGAAACCAGGTACTGAGGAAGAGTATCCTATGGGAGATAACTAGTATAGCACAATGTTTGAGTGCAGCCTTGGAGTCAGACTGCCCGGGTTTGAATCTTGGTTTTATTCCTTCCTAACCATGTGCCTTGAATAAGATGCTTATCCTCTCTGTGCCTTAGTTTGCTTATTTATAAAATGGGATACTAATATTGTCTTCCCCTAGAACAATGTGAGAATTAAATGAGTAAATATAGGAAAGCACTTAGAAGAATGTTTATAGAGCTAAAGTGTATTTTAAGCCCCTGGTGACTTTTCATTGCATATAAACGGAATTATACTGTAAAAGTTATACTGTGAGCTCACTATTTATAAGAGACCTATGAAAGATTAGATTTTCAGTAAAGAATGTTTTCTCCTCTTGCTCGACAGTATCCTAACCCAGATTTGAGAGCACTAAAGCGAGGTGCATTCATGTTATTGGGACACTTGATCCAAAAGAGTACAGAGAGCAGGCGGCGACACGGGCTGCACAGAGCCCAGCATCAGCTGTATTCTCCAGAGAGACCTACTCCGTGTCATTCAAACTCTTCTGCAGGTTTTCTGCCTTGAGGGCTCTCGCTAGTCAAGGAGGCAGTAATCCCAGGTCTCCTTTCTATCCTCTAGACTCTGCACTCTGATTTCTCCTCTCCAAGCTCCACTCTCTTCTCCCCTGCTGGGAGCATGGGGTGGGGGGTTTGTCCTGACTCCATCATCATTCATTTACCTGCCCCCTTCTCTTCTCCCCTCGTGGGTTGGACTGGGAGACTGCTGCAGCCATAGTCAAAGGAGAAATACAGTCGTGAAGATACGTGTTAGTTTATTTCCTTCTCTCCATTGCTGGCCCTTATGTTGGAGCAGGCTCCCCTGCCCGCTTCGTGCTCATACCCAGTGGTTGCTTTATTAATAGCTCAGCCACTATCCCCTTGCTGCCAATTACACCTGTGTTGCCTGGCTCCACTCTGGGACGTGCCCGAGCTGGAGGACTGGAGAAGGACTTCGGGGAGTCAGAACCTCCAAAGGAGCATTACTGGAACTTCAGCTGCTCCAGGGACGGGGGTGATGGGTGGTTGCTGGCCTAGGTGCCTGTAAGGTGCTCAGATGACCGGTTTCTGGGCATCTTAAAGGCACCTCAGGAAGTAGGCAGGTGGGGACAGGGGTGAGTGTGTACATGCTTTTCTTTGTTTCTTTTATCCTTTGAGATTTTGAGTAGGTCTGAAACAGACAAGCTCTCATGTGCTTTTCCCAATTACAAAAGCAATACGTGTTCATGAAAAATTCAAACAAAACAGAGAGAAGTGAAAAGTAGAAAAAAAAAATCTCTCACAATTTCTCCTGTCCCTGTTAAGTTTATTCTTCGCAATATCTCCTGGTGTATTCTGTTAATGAAAATAGGTTCACACTGTACATATTCTATTCCACTATTTTCCTCTTTTTTTTTTTTTTTTAACTCATTATATTGTGGAGGGCTTTTTGGGGGGTGTGTCTATAAATCCACATTTAGCTCTTTCTGCACAGTATTGTATTCTATGGATATTCCAGCCTCCCCCGGTGGACACTTGCCCTGTTTTAGGTTTTCCACCATCACAAGCAATGCTGCAGGAGCGTCCTTGCCTATATATCTTAGCGTGTTTGCACTAGCAGCTTTTCCTACAGAAGGAATCAGAGGAGCTCTGTGTTGATCAACATTACGAATTTATTCTCCTAAAAAGTTCTGTATTGTAGCTACTTTTAATATTTCAAAGTGCATGGATAGAAATTGGGCATTGTCAGCTATAGGTGCATTGGTTCACTAAAACATGAATTTTCTCAGTGTTTAGCCACAGAACTTGGGTATTTCATGCCTGTCAGACAAATAGCGGGAGATAATTAGCAGCTTTATGACCGCTGCATATTTAAAAAGTATTGGGTCTATTTAGAACAAATTGTGGAAGAAGGCCTTGTTCATGAAAAGGCCGGGAACTACTACCACTAGTACTACTATGCTGGAAATCACTACTACTAGTACTACTACTAGACCACCTTTCAGGATTAGATTAGAGAATTTAGTCCTACTTATCACAACATATCCCTTGGCCAGGTGCTGACAAGAGCTGGTGGCTGGGACTGATGGGGCAGTCATGAAACCGAGAGTCAAGTCAGAGCCTTGACCTTGACTTTGTACTGTGTAATTGTGGGCCAAGCTCTTCACTTCCCTGGGTTTGCGTTTTTCTGTTTGTAGGAGAGAAGTTATCAAGCCGTCAATTCCTCTAAGTATGTTCCTGAGGGAGAATAAGTTTAAGGTTGAGAAAGTGAGTTAAATCTTTGTTTAAAGAAGGTAGGAGAGAATTTCAGGATTGAAACAGCTCTTCATTTTATGCTGAGGGATATGTTACATTGTCTCTGAAATTAACCAGCTTGGACTATCTACTCTTCAAATTAAGGTGGTGGTGGTTTTGTTTTGTAACAGGCAGGACAGAACTTTCCTAATTTTGTCAACCCTGCGGTTTGAGATAGGAAGTGTGTTTTAGTTTTGTACTCTGGAACATGAGAAGCCCAGAGGTGGGAGGTGTGGTGCCTTGGGATGTCCTTAGAGACCCCTGTTTTCTTTTGCTCTTAGCATTCTCTGTCCATTTGGGTAAACATGCAGCAGCTGGTCCCCTGCTTAGCTTCAGAGCAGCTTCCAAGCATCAGTTCATTTTTAGCTTTAGGAAGGGTCAGAGGACCTTTGCGGGAAGCGCCTAATGGGCTGGAAGTTGTGGACAAAGCCGCCCCAGAAGTGCAGGTAATGAGGCACATCATGGGGGATTAAGCAGAGCGTGGTGCTGAGCTGGAGAAAGTGAAGACTCAGGAGGATTTTACTACTGAAAGGCGAGCAGCTGTATCCAGGCGGACCTGTTGAGGGTCAGGGATCAGGGGTTCATATCAGCTGAGGCTGCAGCCCTGCCCTTGTGCTCCCTATTTGGACACAGATGAAAATCACTTATCTTGCTCCTTGCCTACTTTGGAGAAGTCCCTGCCCAGGCCCAGGAATTGTCCATGTGCTCAGCGGGTGAAGGACTAAAGGCCAAGTCCTCTGGCCCCAAGTCTGGGCATCTACTCCTCCCTCACCCCTTGGGGCCACTGGTTTCTGGGTACTTCTTGCCCAACACCCCTAGGAAACTCTCTTCCTTCTGAGATCTGTCCTCTACCCAGGCCCTTCTGCTCACTTCTCCAGTGAGATCTGTTGAAAGAGACTTTCCTATGCAACTACCTCAGTTTTACTGAATTGTTTCTTAGCCTTACGGGGCCACCTTGTCCCAGAGCCGAGAAGCAGTGGCACCCAGCAGGGCCCCTTCCGGAAAACAGTGTGGGGAAGTGGAAAGCAAAGGTGGCTCTTTCCATTTCTCATCCCTGGGCAAGCCCTCCTCTCACAGGAGCTTTCAGAGCCTGGGTCCTCCTACCCAACGTTGGTTGGGTCCAGTCCCCAGGGAAGTAGCTGGCAACCGCGGAGACCCCGTCCCCCTGCTCCTCTGTGGCAGAATGGGCAGGGAGGAGCCCCCCCCTATAAGCAAGCTGCAGAGGGAGCATGGGCTCTGGCTTCTGGTGCCAGCTCTGCCGTGACTTGTCCTATGTCCTTAGGCAAGTCACCTGACCTTTGATTGTCCAGTTTTCTCCATCTGTCCACTGAGTCCTATCTCCATTCATGAGCATTCCTGAAATAAGTTTCGTAAGGAAGGACGGACCAGTGACTGTTCCTGCTTCTGAATGTGTTGCTTTCAGACGGCCGTTGAGGCCGGCTGGCCGGGATGCCTTGCAGGCTAGCTTTACCGCGAAGCTTCCTGAGGGGCCTTGTCAGAACTTGTGTCAAGTAAATAGGCTTTGTCACAGTCTGAATCTCACTGTGGTTTAGAAATTCGGACTTAAGCTTGTGTCCTGAGCACAAAAGCCAAAACAGCTGGAGACCAGGCTCTTTTTATACTGGGCAAGCTAGCTCTTGCCCATGGCTCTGAAGGGATAGATGGGATCCTCCGGATAGAATCTCTGTTGGACCTTTTGTAGCTGGCTCATCACTGGAGAAGCTCCAGGCCTAAGGCGTGCCTCCACAGCTATAAATTCTTGTGTTATTAGACTTTCTTATGTTAAGGAAGGTGCCATGGTTCTTATCTTTCTAATCCTTTACACTTTTTCCTCCACGCACCTCTGTGGAAACTTTGCATGTGTGGGGAAGTAGTGTCTTGGCTTGGGTACTTCTTGGAAATTTACATGACCTTTTAGTTCTCTTTTAGGAGATTGGACTGATAGTTCCTCTATATGCCATCCCAGTCTTTGCCTGGCTTTGCTGAGGTGTAGAAAGATTAAATGAGGTTATTAAATGATGTTACTAGCCCAGTGCACGAACCTTCACAGCTTCTAGCCATTCAGTTGTGTTCTCTTTCCCCTCTAGCGTGGGCATCTTACATGACCAACTCCCCAACTCTCATCGTTATGATTGGCTTGCCAGCCCGAGGCAAAACCTATGTATCCAAGAAACTCACACGGTACCTCAACTGGATTGGGGTGCCCACCAAAGGTAGGTGCAGGTTATTTATTCCTTGGGAAGGGAAATGATTAGTTCTTGGGCCTCCCAGGCCTCCGGAAGACCTGTTCTCCTTGGCATAGTGATTACGGTGTGCTCCTGGCAGAAATAGTGGTAGATTCCTGATTTGCTGGATTTATTCCCTGTTTACAGACTTGTTTCCTCTTGGCCTGGGTAGACTGGCCTAGATTTAACAGCATGCCTTTGATGGTATAGGGCTTTACCTCCATAGAGATCATCTTGTCTAATCCTAGCAGTATTCGTGTGAAGTAGCCAAAGTGGCTGAGGAAATTGAAACTCAGACAGTTTAAGACTTGTTCAAGGACTAATACGTCTGAACTTGAGTCTAACTTGACTTTTAATCTGGTATCATTCCCAACATACCATGGTGCTTTTTTTTTTTTTTTTTTTTTCATTTCCTTGGCCACCCTGACATTAGACCAAGAAGTCTCCTTTGGTGGGGCCTTTGTATTTTTTCACTACTGAAGGCTATTGGTGTCATCTGCAGTGTTTAATCTTGGGGTATATCGGCGTGAAGCAGTCAAGTCCTATAAGTCCTACGACTTCTTCCGGCATGACAATGAGGAGGCCATGAAGATCCGCAAGTGAGTCTTCTTGGGCCTGGCCTCCCGGCCTGCTCTTTCTCTGCCATCACAAGACTAGATGTGGCAGGGCTCGGTTTTCCTTTCAGTAAATATCCTCTGGGGATTTTAACAAAGGTTATTTGGCGGACGGGTCATGTTGGCTTGGGTAGGTAGAAGAATAGGCTCAGGGAGAAGCATGTATGTTTAGGGTAAACCTATAGAGCGATACTTTATATGCGTGGGGAAGGGGAAAGATACAGGACAGTGTTAAAACCTCAGTGGGGAAGTTGGAAAGTCTAGTTAGGGGGAAATTTTGACCCCTGGGAAAACTTCAGCGGGAAGGGATGTGACTCCTCCAGCAACCCAGCTGTTCATGTCTCTGGCTGTGCCTGCACTTGATCTGGCACCATTCTCGCTGGTGTCCTCTGTTTTCGTGGCAGACAGTGTGCTCTGGTGGCGCTGGAAGATGTGAAGGCGTATCTCACTGAGGAGAGCGGGCAGATCGCGGTGAGCCTTCCCTGCCTCTTCCCCATCCTGATCTCCGCCCAGGAGACTGCACAGCCTCCCATTGGATGTGCCTTGGTGGGATTCCAGTTCTCTTGGCCCCCTCATCTGCTTTGTGGCCTCTCTCCCCAGGTGTTCGATGCCACCAATACCACTAGGGAGAGAAGGGACATGATTCTGAGCTTTGCCAAGGAGAACTCCTTCAAGGTAGGGTTTGGCTCCCTGCTGGAGGAAAGGGAGGAGTGGAGGTGGGGAGTCAGGAGGGACGTGAGGATCTCTTTGACTGGTGAGTGAGGACAGGCTTGGCTGTCCTTTCCTCTCGTGGGGAGTACCCCCAGTCCTTGAGTGTTTTCTTTCAGGTCCTTTCTCAGCCCCTTAGCCTGTATGTCCAAGGCCCTGGGGATGTGGTAAGAGCTATTTTTCAGTGAAGAGGCCTTGAAGGCCACTTCCATGAAAGAAAACCCTGGGGGATGTGGTGGCCGTGGTGGGGCAGGTGTGAGCACAGGCTGTTAATGAGCAGCCTGGGCACTTTGCACTCATTTGTCACTGCCTTCTCTCCCTGGCCAGGTGTTCTTTGTGGAATCCGTCTGCGATGATCCTGATGTCATTGCTGCCAACATCCTGGTGCGTGACACGCCTGCATACCATCACCTCCCTGTCCTTTCTGCCGCGTATTGTGCGTGGGGGGATGGGTGAGCGGGGAGAGTCAGCTGGCCAATGAAGAAAGAAACAGACGCATTCCACAGTGCAGGATGGTATTTTTGGTCTGCCAGAGCACCATTCATACTTCTGCAGTCTTCCCTTGGGAGAAGAAATTGAGGCTCTGAGTTAGAATGAGCTGTTGAATGGAACCCAAGACTCAGACCGTGGCTTTGGCCCTGTGTTCTGGGTACCAGCTGGGTGCTGAGACCTAGGACTGCCCTCAGAGTAGATCGGCCCCTTCACTCTCTGTCAGGGCCACTACTAGGAAGGTCATCTGTCCCACTACCTTCACACTCAGGTCAGTGCTGTGTGCACGGAGTACCTTGTGCCCTGTATGGTCACGGTATAAACCAATGCCCATTTGATGGGTTGTACTGTGCTGTGTAGACATGGTGTCCTGGTAGTGCTTTCCTAGCAGTGTGGGACTGTGAAGCATCTGAGAAGGGACATCTGGTCCAAGTCAGGCATGCATCTGATCAAGCACCCTATTCTGAGTGGTCGTACAGAGAAATTGAAGCCCATTCTGTGTTCCCAGCAGGGCACATAAAGGGATTGGGGCCTAGGAGTAGTTTGAGCTATGTGAGTGCCTCAGTCCTTCAGCCAAGGGCAGGCACATGACTGCCCAGTTGTCTTTCCTTTCTTGGTTGCCAGGGTCACAGGACAGGGAGGGGGCGCTCAGTGAACGGGGATTGCCAACAGCTCCAGTGAAAGGGCCCTTCTATGCACTTCCTTCTCTTTATTTAGCATTGGCTCTTTGCAGGAGGGTTGTTAAGGGCACACCTCTGACCAGGCCCTACTCTCCCTATGATTCTAGGAGGTAAAGGTGTCGAGCCCTGACTACCCTGAAAGGAACAGGGAGAATGTGATGGAGGACTTCCTAAAGAGAATTGAGTGCTACAAAGTCACCTATCAACCCCTTGACCCAGACAACTATGACAAGTAAGGTTTAAGGCCATGGTTTGAAGGGCCTGAGGCAGGGGTCTTATTGGAGAAAAGGGCCTTTCTCCCTCTGACCTCAAACTTTCCTCTGACCACCGGACCTCTCATGTTTGCGTCATGCCAGAGAAACAAGAGTGGATTTGTAGCGGCCATGTAGGCTGCATCTTACACTTGAACAGTGAAGTGTTTTTAGCATCAATTCCTTCTTTCTGTTCTCTACAACAAGATTTCTCAGTCTCCACATGGCTGACGTGCTGTGCTGGCTAATTCTTTATCACGGCCATCGGGGGCTGCCTGTGCACCGTACGATTTGAGCAGCACTCCTGGCCTCCACTTATCAGATACGATAATACTCCCAACCTGCGATGAGCCAGAATGTTTTCAGACATTGCCAGGTGTCCCCGGGGAGCAAAATCAAGTAGTTCTAATCTAGGATGTTGTAGGATATCCCTCAGAGATGTGTCTTCGGCTTTTGATCAGTTTTTAAAATTTACTGTGTGTGTGTGTGTGTGTGTGTGTGTGTGTGTATACATATCTGTATATATATATACTGTAACACATATCTATTAGTATGTAAGTATATTTATTACAGAGAAAAGAGTAACATAATATAGAAATATGTTTACATAAACCATAAGTTACATGTATGGATACATGTATGTTATATGTATATATGATGTATATATGATGTTGTATATATATGATACATATAATACAAATAGATAAAGTAAAAATGTGTAACAGACATGAAAATATATATGAAATATGTATATGTATGTACATATGTGTGTATGTGTGTATGTATACATATATATATAAAGCATGTAAAGTCCTTAAGAACATGCCTGAGTCATCAGAAATGTCTGATTGGTGCTAGCCATTATCCCTTGGGGTAGTGTCTGTTGGCAGTGTGGTATGTAGTATGGGTTAACTTCATGTGCCTGAGGTATAAGAGCCATAGTAAAATGTCAAGTCCATGTTGAAGAAAGGTGAGTACACACAGAAACCTGGAGAATGTGGCTACGCAGTTAACAGCTGTGTTTGAGTGAGATACAGCCCCGTGGCCAAAGAGATGGCAAGATAAGTGTGCATAGCTCACTGTTCCATTGTTAGAGGTCTGCTTCATGTTTGAGTCTTTTTTTTTTTTTTAATTTTATTTATTTATTTGTCAGAGAGAGAGAGAGAGCGAGCACAGGCAGACAGAATGGCAGGCAGAGGCAGAGGGAGAAGCAGCCTCCCTGCTGAGCAAGGAGCCGGATGTGGAACTCAGTCCCAGGATGCTGGTATCATGACCTGAGCCAAAGGCAGCCGCTTAACCAACTGAGCCATCCAGGCGTCCCATGTTTGAGTCTTTAAATTCCTTCAAGTAGATTGCCCAGAATGTTTGAAGGTGTTCCTTAATATGGAGATTGAAAACCACTGTTGTAGAAATGGTGTAATTGTATATTCTTCTACATAGAAGTCCTATATAGAAAAACATTCTACAACAATGTGTGTGTATGTGTGTGTGTGTGTTTATAGGTAGTATTTCTGATGGTAGGGTTTGGTTGATTTTTATTTGCATCATTCTACCTTTATTTGAAAATTTTTTGGAATAAGCATTCGTCATTTTTTAAAAAATTAAATTCAATTAGCATTGATCATTTTTACAATGAGAAAAATTGATGAGGCAACCACTGTGGACGTACCTCTGAGAGAGGCATGATTAGGCAGGTGCAGGGGACCTGTAGAGATCTCTAAGGTTCTGCTGCCTGCTGCGCTCCCTACTGGCAGTGCCATTCCCCGGCCAGCTCCTGACCGCCCCGGATAGGGGTTGGGCTTCTCACCAGACTCCAGGGTTAGCAAAATTGTCAGGTCACCTCGTCAAATCCTTGACGGAAAGCCTCAATTCTTCATCTCCTACTTCTCTACACTCCTTGGCACAGTATGGGTACTGAAGAAATGGCAGGCTGGCTGGAAATTTGGGACATCTCACTTCATCTTGGGTCTGAGGTGTGATGTGTCTCTAACCAGTTGGTTCCTTAAATGTGGGTTGGCTCTGACAGGAGAGGAGGAAGAACTACCTCAAGCCCACAAGTAATTATGGGAATCCTTCCCTTCCCGCTCTTATCCTCAGATTTTCATTCCCAGGGATTCTCTTTTCTCCTTCTCTGTCCCAGGGATCTCTCTTTCATCAAGGTGATAAATGTGGGCCAGCGATTTTTAGTCAACAGAGTCCAGGACTACATCCAGAGCAAGATAGTCTACTACCTCATGAATATCCACGTGCAGCCTCGCACCATTTACCTTTGCCGGCATGGAGAAAGCGAGTTCAACCTCTTGGGGAAGATTGGGGGTGACTCTGGCCTCTCGGTGCGGGGAAAACAGGTGAGGCGCCTGGCAGCCGGCTGGATTTCCCAGGCTTAGAGTTGGAGAAAGAGCATGGTAGAGGGCATCTCTCTCTCTCTCTCTCTCTCTCTCTTTTTTTTTTTTCCCCTGAGGTCATCTCTCTTATCCCCTTACTTCTTCCTCAGTCCCGCTGGGGCTGCGGCTGTGGTTTCAGATAATCAAGCAAAGGCTGAAGACCTCCTCTTGTCCACCAATTCTGGCTGTGTTGTAGTGTGGTAACTTGGAACCCCTCCTGTTGTTCACTCAGCTGTCAGATATTTATTGGGTACAACTTATGTGCCGAGCACAGCACAGGATGCTCCAGGGGAAGTTCATTTCCTCTTGGGTTTATCAGAACTGTGTAGCACCTTTTGGATTTTGACCGTGGTCCTACACGTTGTTCCTTATAGGCCAAGTTAGCAATTGTGTGTGTGTGTCTATATGTGCACGTGTGCACGTGTTTGTCTCCTTTTAAAATTTTTAATCTCTGACCCCAGTTTGCCCAGGCTCTAAGGAAGTTTCTGGAGGAACAGGAGATAGCAGACCTCAAAGTGTGGACAAGCCAGCTAAAGAGGACTATCCAAACCGCCGAATCCCTGGGTGTGACCTATGAGCAGTGGAAGATTCTGAATGAGATCGATGCTGTGAGTAGGAATTCTGATGGCTACAAAGCCAGTAAGTGTTATTCAGGCAGGAACTCTCAGAGATCACAATATGGGCAATTTTATCTAGAAAACTAGAACTACCAGGTAGTAGTTCTAGTCGGGGGGTGGGAACAATTGCATCCTAGTCAGGGTTTCCTGCCTGTTTGAGGTCCTGTGCCAGGGACGGGCCCAGACCAATCTGGGACTAGCGCCTCTGACATCTGGGGACAGTGCAGCTCCATTTTGTTCCTTTGGATATTTTTCTCCCAGAAAAAAGAAATAGCTAACAACTCACTTCTTTAATTTCTGCTTAGATCATTTGTCAGCTCTTCTGGAAAATTCCTTTCCAAATTTTTTCTTGGCTTTCTCTGTCCTTGAGCGCAAAAGCAGGCATTTCTTTTTCTTTTCTTCCTCTGTACCTTTTTATGCCTTCTGCAAGAATTTTCTAGTCCCTTCAGTTTCTCCTCCTTCTCTGCTTCCTGTTCCCTTTAACCTACTGACTTTTCTTGGACCTTTTAACTTCTCTGAAGTAGTTGTAGCAAGTGGCAGCTTAAGCTCGAGAACCCACGTCCTCTGTGCAGTGGCCCTCCCCCTGCCCGTCCCAGCCACCAGGGCCCGTTGGTGGCACTACAGGCTAGGACCTAGCACAGTGCTGGGCACGTAATAAGAAGCCAGGATTCTTTAATGTCGCCTCCGTTGTGTGTGTTGGGGTGGGGGCGTGTGTGTTGCTCTCCCTCCTGCAGCCGGTGTGGCTCCCTGCAGGGCGTGTGTGAGGAGATGACCTATGCGCAGATTGAGAAGCAGTACCCAGACGAGTTCGCGCTTCGAGATCAAGAGAAATACCTGTACCGGTACCCTGGTGGGGAGGTGAGATTTCCCTTCAGGTGGGGCGACTGCCGCAGCAGAGGCTGGGGGTTTAGCTTTAATTTGGGGAAAGGATTAAATGGGACGTGTTGGGTCTAGAAAAGGTAGTCAAACCATCGTGTCGTTTTGTCCTCCGACTTTGGGTCACAGTGTGTTTAATTCAGGTTAGTTGAATATCTCATTAAGATCTCCAGGGAAAAGGTGACAGGATGTCTTGTATGTTGATTAATTGTAGAATCAGCATCTTCTTTTTTACTTCTTTTTTTCGTTCTACTCTCTCAGTCCCACCCCGACTCAAGCAGGTATAGGCCCCCGAGTCAGTATGTGGGGTGTGAATGACCTCCCTGTCATCTTGCGCATTTGAGGCTGTTCTCTGGCCTGAGGGCCTTCGTAGTCTAGAGCCATGGGAGGCCCAGGTAACTAAAACCAATGGCAGAGGTCCAGGAAAGCCCTAAGGGCCTCTTGTTGCCTCATGTGCTGCCTGTTCATCTGTGGGAAGGAAAAAAGACACAGGCTGAGTTCACATTTCCTCTTTTTGACCTGTAGCTTTCTCGATCTGAATGTTGCTCTTAAAAGGTCTGAGGATTCTCAAGAGATCATGGGGCTGGGGGGTGTTAGCAGGCGACATGAAGTCGCTGACCCTCCAGGAGGAAAGCCAGCTGGGGAAGAAGGAGAAGTAGCCTCCTGACTCCAGAGCCAGCCACTGACTTGGCTGCCAGCCTGTGCCTGGCCCCCTACCAGTCGGCCTCACTTCCCCCACAGTCGTACCAGGACCTGGTACAGCGGCTGGAGCCTGTCATCATGGAGCTGGAGCGTCAGGGCAACGTCCTCGTCATCTCCCACCAGGCTGTCATGCGCTGCCTGCTGGCCTACTTCTTGGATAAGGGTGCAGGTGACATTTGAGGGAAGGGCCAGGGGACACATTCATGGGGAGAGGGCTGGACTAGGGGCGACACAAGGATCCCAGGCAACAGAGCCTCCCCCTCTTCCACTCAGAGTGGGGTACATTCTTCGGACAGCAGTGTGGGGCTCCTAGCAGCCACTGGGCCAACTACTCACTGAATTGACCCCTCTGGTACAAAAGCCCCCAGTGGAGAGTGGCCGCTGCTGGAGCTCCTTAATCCTGCTTGGCTAAAGGGCCAGAGTTCAGCCGTCCCTCCTGGCAGGATCAGAAAAGTGGCTGAACGTTCACAGCCTGTTATTTGACTCCAAGGAGGGTGGTGTCTTAGAAGCATCTTCATCCTTTGGATTCATCATAGGACAGTTTCTGGGTAAAGCCATAAGGAAGTTGCTGGCTTTTCTGACCCTTCCCTTCCCTTCCTGATCTATCTGAGCTGCTGGGCAGCCTGCACGTGGGCCTTGGGTACACCCAGGTGGGCCACGATCTTCCCTTCCACCGGCTGCTGGCTACTCACTCCTGTTTTGCCTGCATGGAAGGATCTAAAATGGCTTGCTTTCCTTCCTTAGCCTCTTAGTAGCGTGGGCAGCTTCTTTGGTGGCCATCCTATTAATTGTCTGGGGTTTAGGGGAGGAACTGTACAATTCTAGGTCAGGGTGGAAAAAACTCATGAGCTCCTTAGATTCTCTCGCTAACTTGACCTTAATCCATAGTACTAAGAGACATCTCTCACCCGGTCCTTCTCTTTTCAGATGAGCTACCATATTTGAGGTGTCCCCTTCATACCATCTTCAAACTTACTCCTGTGGCCTACGGTAACTATGATCTTAGCAGCTGGGCAGGAGGTGGGGATTGAAGAAAGTCAGGCTATTTGATTTTTCTCTGAAGTTTGTCTGGAAGTTCAACTTTATCATCCCTGTGTAGCAGGGAAATTCCATCAGTGCTTTCCATTTTTAAAAGGACGTATGGGGGCGCCTGGGTGGCTCAGTCAGTTAAGTGTCTGCTTCAGCTCAGGTCATGATCCTGGTCAGGTCCTGGGATTGAGTCCCACATCAGGCTCCCTGCTCAGTGGGGAGCCTGCTTCTCCCTCTGCCCCTCCCCTTGCTCATGCTCTGCATCTCTCTTTAATAAATGAATAAAATCTTTTAAAAAAAGGATATATGTATATATTTAGGAATATATACATTCTTTTATGGTATGTTTTCCATACTGAATCTAAGGAATTTTCCTTGGAGATTTTTTTCCTGAAGGCTTTCTCTTTCCTCTGCTTCCTCAGGATGTAAAGTGGAAACCATAAAACTCAATGTGGAGGCTGTGAACACGCACCGTGACAAGCCAACCGTAAGTACTTTCCCCAGATGAACATGCAGGTTCCCTGCCACCTTGAGTCTTTGAACCTTTGACATCACAAGACTGGGGTTTTGTTTATGTACAAAAGGGGAACACATCCAGAACTCATGTCCTATGTAGTCTGCTTATTTCCAAAAGGAAGAGATGTTGGAATTACTGCTTTTTAAAATTAGTCCCTCTTTCATGAGTCTTAACCTTGAAAGTTGGCTCCTGGAAATACAGTTAAATTTGGGAAATGTTTGGCTGAAGTCAAATACAGATATTCCCTTCACCCCGCCCCCAGGAGTGCTCCCTTTAGAAGTAGGACCCAGAAGAGCCTATAAGGTGGGGTCAAGAGGTATAGGGTTTATTTCTAGGTCTGTCCTGATGACCTGTGTGATCTTAAGTAAGCCCCTTCCTTTTGTGGGTCCTCCTTCCTCCTTTGGAATATGATGCTCAAGGAGCTGCTCCTTCTTACAACCCTTTAGCTTCCTGGGACTAGGGCTAAGGCCATGGCCCATGTCTTAGGAGAGACTCTGTCTGCAGAGGAACAGGAGTGGAGGAAACTGTTGTGGTTACAAGCATTATTTAACCTGTATGAGTGAGCTTTTGGCTTGGCTTTCATTTGTGTGGTGTCCCTCCATTTCCAATCAGAACAACTTCCCCAAGAACCAAACCCCTGTAAGGATGAGAAGGAACAGCTTTACGCCTCTGTCCAGTTCGAATACAATAAGGCGTCCAAGAAATTACAGTGTTGGGAGCCGGCCCCTCAAGCCCCTCAGCCCTCTCCGTGCCCTGGACACGCAAGAAGGGGCCGACCAGCCGAAGACCCAAGTCAGCATTCCGGTGGTGTAACCGTGTGTCCCCTCCAGGCTTGGCCTCCTGCCCTTGTCACTAAGCACCAAGGAGTCATTTAACTTTCAGCCCCCACCCCCAACACCCCACCATGGATCTTAACACAGAACGTGAGCTCATGTGTTTCCAGACCAATCTTAGCGGTTCTCCAGAGTGAAACATGTCCCCCCACCCCGGGGCAATTTGACCAGCGGGTGTTTTAGGACACGTCCTCAGTTGGGGTGGTCTGGAGGAGGAGGGAAAAGGATACACTCCCCTGGGTGCTTAGCATAGCTGGGTTTGAGGTTAAGCCTGCCGCATAGACTTGGTTCTTGTCCCTGGTGTCTAAACTCCTCACATCTTTGTGTTGGTAAAGTCGGGGGTGGGGTGGAGGGGGAGACAGAGCCCATTTTTCCTTCACCTTTGTCTCTTCAAGGTGTGCTTTACTCACAGTCCTTACTTGCCTGCTTTGTTCCCCCCTTGCTCACCTGCCCTTTGGACTGTCCAGTGTGATGCATGGCATTGTCATCGTGGTGTCTGTTGAGGAGGGAAGGGGTGGTTGGCGAGAGAGCAGTCTAGGCTCTGTTGGTGCTCTCTGCAGGGGGCCTCAATGGATCCAGACTGGGGGAGCTTTTTTTCTTTCCCCTCTCCTTTCCTCTCAAGCCAGGTCCTGAAAGGGTCAGCCCAGGCTGCAGACCATCCACAGATGTTCTGGGGCCTGCAAGTGGACGTAGGGTGAGAGCTCGTGCCTCCTCTCACGAGCCAGTGCTAAGTCTGCGAGGCTCTGGGGGACTTGGGCCCGAGGATGTGCGAAATATCTCGGTTGGTATTATTCACTTCAGGAGCGAGACATGGGTCTTTCTGGCAGCTGTGGAATGACGTTTAGGAGAATAGGACGTTCTCGAGCTCTTGCAGGGCTCTCATAGGGCAGGCATGTCTTTTGTCAGTGGCTCCCAGCTTTGCCAGCCACAGCACCTTTCCTGCCGAGGCCAGTGACCTCTGGGGCTGTTTAGAAGGACAGAGATGAAAGAGTCACCACTGACACTGGAATTGCTCAGGGCAAGTGGCAGAGAAGAGTTCACTAGTGCTTTTTATTTTCCTGTAATGTTCAACACTCTACTCTCTATCTTAAAAAAATTTTGCATGAGCAAAGTTGTGTGTGTATTGTTTTTTTTTTTTCCCCTAAATGTGGAAAGACCTGGCCATGAATTTACTCTCCCTCACTGGTGTATTCTTTTATTTCATGTTGGTGTCCAGGAGTCTTTGGGACCCTGAGGGGTCTAGCTCTTAATTATCTGGAATTGCCCATTCACTTTTGTCATTTTATTTTCTCTGTAGGGTTAACCAGGAAACATTTAGAGCAGGGGATTCTTAGCTCCTTGGTGCCCCCACCCCAGTTCTGTACATAAAACATGAATATATGTGCAGTTTTCTGAGAGAGAAGTCACTTTGCTCATGATGGAATGAGTCCCACCTTAAAGTTACCAATTGTCTTTCGGAGGAAACCAGCGAGAGCAAGTGACCTATTTGCCAAGGGTCTTTTTGTTTGGTAAAGAAGACCTTTTCTCATGGTTCTTGTCCGGGAGCACTCATTAGAATCCTCTGTAGAATTTTCGAAGCAAATACAAGCTCCAGTCCACTCCAGGCTTAATGCGAACTCAGAACCTCTGGGGTTGGGGTCTGGACGTGTATGCGTTGAAATAACTTCCCTGAAGGTTCTGATTCATATTCAAGGTTAGCTGTGGGGAGAAATACTTGGGCTAGTTCCTTGGACAGATCATCAACCCAGGAATTCTGAATTCCTTTTGGCTCTGAAAGGACAATTCTCTAGAGTTAGACGTCTGAGCAGATGACAGTGTTACACCACGTGACCCCCTTGAAGGCAAGCTGCTGTGTTTTAGAGGGCTACTCTGGGTTCTCGTTCCATCTTTAACTTTCTACACTGCAGGGTGATGTGGAACAAATCGCTGGGTGAGGAAGTGTCCTCGGGTAATAGCTGGGAGTGTTCAGCACTCTGGATAAAGGCACAGAGATAAAACCAGTAGGATATAAACGTTATCATCACAGGCAGCTGACTTGTGACCTTGAGTCCTTCATTCTTTTTTTTTTTAAAAAGATTTTTAATTTATTTATTTGATCCAGAGAGAATGAGATCACAAGTAGGCAGAGAGGCAGGCTCCCCGCTGAGCAGAGAGCCCGATGCGGGGCTCGATCCCAGGACCCTGAGATCATGACCTGAGCTGAAGGCAGAGGCTTAACCCACTGAGCCACCCAGGCGCCCCCCTTCATTCTTAAGTCCCAAGTAGAGTAGGACATCACAGTGTTTCCAGTGGCTGCTTGCCAGCTTCTGGTCCTCAGTGCGTCTGAGAACAGAACTGCTGTTCCTATTTGGCTGCTATATTCTGGGTACATGGTGTCTTTGTGGGGCTTCAGACTGGGTGGGGGCGCTGATGGTGATTGGGTACATAGAATTGGAAGAAAAGGTCGTTGCCCTGAAGAAGGTTATTTTTAGAGACAGGGTATATAATTTATAATAAATGAATTTTTGTGAACGAGCAACACATTGAGTCTGTAACTGTGGGCATTGAAGTGGAGTTCCAGATTCCTTCAGACTAAAGGGGGGTGGCAGGTGAGAATCCTTCCCCTCCCAGTGAGAATGAGATATGGTCTAGGCGGCATGTGGGGTGCTTTTACAAGGTGGCTTCATCTAACCTTCCTTGGCTGGCAGCACCCTTAGCCCAAATGATTATTCATCCCCCCACTCCCTCCCCCCCCACCACCCTGCCGTGCGCCATAAGAATCATTCAGAGCTAAGGAATGACAAGCAGGAGCATTTTGATCCAAAGACTTTGGATTTGGGCTGTGCATATTCTTAGTGAGAGGAGGATTTTCTAACTCATGAGCATTGTGTTATCCTGTTGTAAACCGTGGCCGGAGCCACAGGTCACCGGGATGTTCACCGTGGCCCTCAGCCTGCTCCTTACTTTCCCACTCTCCCCCCTGTGCTAGTTTGCTTCTCCCAAAAGAGGAGCCTGAGGTAGTCTTTTTAGTCTCGGGGCACACAAGAAATTAGAACTTGACTGTAGCATTCTTCAGTTCTAGAGCAGGAGCCCTCCAGAGAAGTTTCTGCAGGAAGAAGCCAGGAGGATACAGAATGGCATAGAGCTCTTCCTCCAAATTTTAGAGAAGTTCTACTTTCTATCTTTTCTATCCTCCTCTTCCTTGCTTACTGAATGTGTATTGGTAGCATTTGCACACTGCTATAGTTATGTCTATGTCACAGATTCTACAAAGAAAGGATGGATTCCAGAGCACCTTTTGCTAAGGCTTTTGGTTTCATTGTGGGAGAAATAGGTGAAGGCTTTAGTATTTCATCTATTAAATTACTTAATTTAGTAAATGGGGAAAGGAAAATCCCTGTATATTTTATTTTGTTGCTTGGAAACTGAGTGATGAATTTTGTGACACACGTGAAAGAGGAATCTGAAGCAGATTTGGAGAACTAGCTTCGCTTGTCTCTTAATCCTCAAATTAGAATTTCCTTCTTATTAATCTGTATTGTCTTTGGTTTTGTTTTGATAATGGGACTGTTTTACATTCAGCTGCAAAGCAGAACTAGAAAATCTTAAAAACATGCATTGTGTAGGGGTCTGCCCTATCTTACTGTCTCTGGGTTTGTTTGTTTCTCCCCTAAGGAGTTAGAACTAGGAATACGTGTCTGCATTCCCAGGCTGAACGGACGAGTGTTTCCTTTGAGGTTCTGGTGTTCCTCTTTGCAGCCCACAAATGGATCTGCAGAGGCACCTGTATTCTCAAGAAACGTGACATAACTTTGAAAATAAATCCATCTTACAGTTTTTCTCTGAGTAGGAGGTCTAGGTTTTGGAGAAATTCATTGGTGCTTGGGGTAGCAAAAGGAGAGAGGGAAGAATGTCTAATGATGCAGAAAACTATACTATATCTGTGTTACACAGCCTTACAGACATTCCATTGGTTCTCCTGAGTTCAGAAGTCATGTTGTTTTTGTTTTCAAAAAATTTGCTCAATTTACCCAGTTTTCCTAGCACATATTTTGACATGGTCATGTTTTAAAATATTTTAGTTTAAAAAATATCTAACACTTGAGCCAGGTTGTGACATTGGCAGGATGGATCTCTGACTTCCCAGAGAGGTGATTCAGTCATCAGAAGTATGTCCAGGAATTTAATATGGATGCATACTGTCCGGAAGACTGTATCTAGTAGCATCCACATGCTTACCGACTGGCAGGCCCTGGGCGAGTCTGTATGCTGACTGACTGACTGACAGACTCCAGTAGGGTCTTGCAATCTGACTGTCTTTTTTCTAATTGTACCAGTTAGTAATATATATATATATATACACATATATATATATATGTGTGTATATATATATATTACTATATATATGTATATATATATTACTATATATATATAGTAATATAGGCATATTATTGTAATTTTGTGTCTCTTGCATGTGTCCTCCAAAGAAAGGAAGTAAACACTTTACCTTTTTTTCAGGGGGAAGTTCTGTACTTACCGATTTCTTTTAAGAGTAGCAGCCAAATTCTCATCATTTTGTAGAAAATGAAGGTTGAACTTCACTTCTGTGTGATATTTTGCAAACTTGGTGAAGGAAATACCCCCTCAAAGCCAGAAATTATTACCTCTACCTGCATTCGTTCTTCCCACTGCCCCACCTCTAGGCAGGATTTCCCTTTCACTGTCTGCTGATGAACCTTCTGTGTCCTCAGCTTCCCTGTCACAGGATAGAGCGGTGGCTAATGCTGCTGTTTTCAGTCTGCCATGGGTTTGGCTTTTATTCATAAAATGTAATAAATAAAGATGCAAAGGAAAGTTTGCGTTTAAAAATTGATCTTAGGAGTTGGCAAAGGTATTCTTTCCAGTCAACCTTTCACTGGGGATCTAGTGTTTTTGTACTTGAGTTGCTTGTATACATTTTTTTTTTATTGTGTTGAAATAACAAAATCCACTCGTTCTGCTCTGGTGATGGTTTTCCTGTGGCAAGAGCGAAAGACTGATCACCAGCTGTGCCCCTTGGAGGGGGTTGGAAATGGTTGAGGGGAAGGGACTGAATTGGGAAGTCACGTACGAGAGTTATCCTGCAAATCCACTTCCTCGGCACAGCTCTGGTGAAAAAGGAATGTGAGTCCTTACCAGCATTCTGATTTAATCTGGTGACACTGATATCAAAATATGCCACTCAGAGCCACATAAGGTGTGTATAACTGTATTTGAAATGTGCTTTTCTGTGTGTGTGTGTGTGTGTGTGTGTGTGTAGAATCGGTAAATAAAAATGTTGAGTAACTCGAACCTATCAGAAGGCTTCCGGGTTTTTGTTTTGTATTTTGGGTTGTGTTCTCCACCCACTCCCCCTACCTCCGAAACCGCGGTCGGGCCTCAGAGGAGCCAAAGCCAGTTGGTGTGGGCATGGCTCTCTTCCACCACCTTCTGGGAAAGATGGGAAGGACATTATGGAAGGCACGTGAACGGTGTACTTTTTGGCACCTCTACAAGAATTAAGAAAAAATTACCTTTGCCCGAACCGTACTATGAATCCCGTTAACCACATGTAACTCATTATCATAAAGGAAAAAGTATGGAGATCTCTTAGAATTTAGTGGGCTTTTCCTTCCAAAACATGACCCGTCTGTTCTAAACAGCTTACCATCAACAGAATGAAATGACAATTAACTTCTGGGATAGGAGATACGGGTGGAACTGTGTCACCGCCTCACGCCTCATTCATGTCAGCCCGGCAAAGAGCAGGAACTCCTTAGACATGCAGCCTCTGGGGCCTCGTCACGGGGTCCCTGAATTAGAATCGCCACCTTAATAGGATGACCAAGTGATTCCCAGGCACATTTAATTGACGCTTGAGAAGCACTCCTCTAGGGGGAGGAATTCCGCACGAAATACTCGGTCTTAGTTTATGGGAAATCAGTTTATGATTTGTGCTCTGACGAATTTCAGAAGGTCTGGGATAGCTACAACCGTAGAGACCCTCCTCAGAAGCCAAGGAGCCCCCGACTGCAAAGCCATTTGGTCAGCATGGTCCTTTGGCTGATAGTAGCCTACGTGCTCTCCTTTTACCACAGGATTTCCTGCAGCTTCTACCTCCTATCTTGGGTGTATAGCTTAGTGCCCGGTCCAACGTGGTTACAAAGGTTGGTTTCTCAGGGAAAGGAGCCTGTGACTGTACTGTTGGAGTTTGGTAAAGGGTAAAGGGGTGTGTGCCCGCACAAATGAGGGTCCGTGCATGTGTGCGGAGGTGGGGCTGTGGGCAGTGGGGGAGCAGCGGGAGGGTGGGGGAGGGGCTCTGCTTCACTTTGATTTGATTTTGGCAGTGGCATAATTACTTTCTCTCTCTGGCTCGTAGGCAGAGACGGGGTTGGCTGTGCACAGGCACTCTTCAGCGTCCCTCACACCGCTTTGCTGATGATGTAAAGGTTGAAGCCAGACCCCTCCAGGATCTACTACAAGGCTGTTGATGGCAGCCCCACGGGGGCTCTATCAGGAAGTTAAGCTGGGTTTGGACATTTGAGGCCACCAAAATGAGGCCTGGAAAAAACATTACATTTCTTCCCCTCATGCCTAATGGGAATACGTGTTACACGGGAAAACTTAAGTGCCCTGTGCCTCAAAACATCTAACAGCCCAACCCGATCAGTTCGTATGATCTCTTTGCTGGGTGTGACCCCAGTTGGCCAGTCTTGTTCCTTTTCGGCCTTTAACTTCCTACCTGCGATTGTATCCCTGGCTGCCTGTTCTTTTCTGGAACGCAAATGGCACCTCTTCAGACTTGTTTCCGAGTGAGAGGGCTGCACTACCACGAGCCTATTCTGTGCTGTAAGAGCTGGTCTCTGCGTCCGTTCCAGCGAGCAGGCTAGAGGACCTTATATATATGTTAGCCGTCCCTTTTCTGTCACGTTGGAAATGAGACAAATTCAGCAGGTGAGTGGAGGGTATCTGAGAAATTCAGTCCCTGTAATGTCTCTTCTGCGGTGGTGGAAGGGCAGCATCAATTGCCTTTTCACAGAGAGAAGTTTTTCCTTGTTCCAGGCCCTGTAAGGGCAGGATCTGACTGCAAGGCTCCCCAGAATGGGTCCCTGTCTTCAAAGTACCCTTTTCCGAAGTAGCTACTGTATTTCCTACCTGATGCTGCATCCCCTCACAGCGGCAGAGGGAGGCGCCATTCTCCAGTGGTTGGGAATGAGGGTTGGAGAGAAAAGTAGGCGCTATTGACAGGACCTGAAGAAGTGAAGAGGGTTCCTTGGGAATCAACTGTACCAGGGAGTTCTTGCTTCAGACCAGGTTCAGGGGGGCATGGCTTTCTGTGGGGTCTGTCACTATGATGCGGTCTCTATGAAAGCTGCGGATGTGGCTTTGAGAGCAGCTGGTCTTCTGATGCCTGCCTCTTAGCTAATTGTCTCTAGTGGGGTCTCCTGGTCATTTATATAGAACACTGGGGCAAGGGGTGGGCTGGGGGAGACCCCAGTCTTTGAGGCATCTGTCATTTGGCTTCCTGTAAAGATAAGCCAGGTAATTCTCTAGATCAGTGTGATTCTCTGTCAATGTGATTTTGATGTCAATACTCCAATAGAGGGAATAGAAGCTCCAAAAGATAAATACCTTACAAGCAAAATTCTTTTTTTTTTTTTTTAAAGAATAGTAAGTTTTTTAGCTTTTTAAATAATTTTTCCCTTTCATGCAGAATACCCTCTTGCTGGGCAAGAGGGTAAGTAACAAGAAAAGAAAGAAATGCATTTTTTCCCCAAATGGTTCTTTTATACTGTGGTTGATATGGGGCTCCCTTACCTAAGATGTGATGAGCTGGGCTGCGGGCAGTTCAGCATCCCGGAACCAGGAGCTTATTTTATACGCACAAAGCTGCCTTCAGAAAGGCTCCTGACTCTGCTCTGTAGCCGGGGATTTTCATCTGGCCTCTCTGAGCATGCGGAACTGTCACTATTTTGTTCTTGTGCTGCGGGTTTCTTTCTGCATCTAAACGCAGTGTCTGTTGATGATCAGATAATGTTTTTACTTAGTTATTTATTCATTCATGTGTGATATTTTTAAGTCCCATGTGAGTGTTTGCATGTGTTTGATCAGAATGTAAGATAATTGGTGTTGCTGTTTTTTGGTAGAAATTGAGGTAGTTTGAGATTTTTAAATGTGATGTCCATAGTATTACCTTAAATTAAATTTCTAAGGTCTAGGTGTCTGTCTTCTGTAAAAGGATGGCAACGATGTTAAGGCACGGCAGATTTCTTTTGAGTACTCTTTTCCTCGTTGATTTATAAGTATCAACCAAGAGATGCATTTCTCTGGAGAGAAGTTTATCTCCTGGATAAATAAAATCATGCTAAAATATGTCAGTAATCTGTATTTCTTTGTAGTAAGAAATATAATAAAAGTTATTTTTAATTTAAAGATGTAATTAATTTTTGAAATCACCACAAAATGGGATAACATTTGGTACATTATACATATGCAAAATATTAATAACATCATGCAAAATGTCTTTGAAACTAACTTCTTGACAATGATTCTCAAAATCTTAGATCATATGTATATTTCCAGCTAGTGTTTGAATTGGTGACTCCTGCCTTTATCAAGTTACACTGGCATTTCAAAATGATATCAGTGGGATCATTATTGCCATATACTATTAATTAAATGAATTAACAATGAATTTGTTAATTCATTTAACAAATCTTTAATGATCATCAGTTGGTTGTTATGCGGTGAGTAAAACCCAGTCCTTGTTCCCTGGCCTTAGAAAAGATCTCCAAGCACTTTTGCAGGTGTTAGTCTTACCCAGCCATCAAGCCATCATTTGTAGAAGGACAAGCACATCTGGGCTCATTCTTACTTCACAAATAGGTGAATGAACACCCTTATTAAGTGACTTACCTTGACACTGATGGAGTTCTTGTCAAAGCCCATACCTCAGAACAAGGTAAATGGTAAGAAGTGTAGCAGTGAGGGCCCAACAAACATATAACATGCTTTTTTAAAATCTAGCTAGAAACTTCATAAAGATACCCAATTAGAATGACTCCTTAGAGAGTGCTCCATTGTTGGGTGACGGTCACTATTTGGCTTATTTCTGTAGCCTTAATTATTCCCTCATGCCTTCAGCCTCTCCAGGATCTTTCCTGGGGACTCTCTGTGAGGAGGCTGACCTTGCTAGCTTGCCCTGGTCGGTGACTGGCACTTCCCGTGGCAGTCCAGCAATGGCCCATTGCTTTATGGTCTTGAAGTACTCCCACCATCCAAACTACATTCATTGTCTTGAACTCATCTGAGAATTTGACAAAAGCTGAGGCCCCTTTCCCTGACAAAAGGTAGATACGCGTCACTTTCACATACATCCCGACCTCAGGGTAGCAAAGCAGGAGTTAGATGATAATGTACACACATATCCCATCTCCCTTTCTTTTCTTTGACATTAAAAAAAAAAAAATCCATCCATTTGATACTAACTTCTTTAAGCAGAGGGGAAGAATTTGTGGGATTCTGAAATGCTTACTTTTTTAAAACCAGACATTATAGAATACTTAGGAATTTGAATGGATTGTAACAAGGATAGCTTCACTAACCTCTGGGGCAGCAGGGGCAGGGGTATAAGGGGTGATAATTTTTTTTTCTTAATATCAAGGCACCTGGTGCATCTTTTGTGCTCATTAAGCCAGTGTCACACCATTCCCGTCACTACAGGCAGAGCACCTCACTTCCGAGCTCCCTTCTGAATTCCCAAGGGCACCTAGATACCTTCTTGCTGGTATGCTGTACCTTCCCTGTGAAGACTTGGTCAGATTCCAGAGACCAGCTTCTCCTCATGATTAAAGGAAATAATTTCACAAGCACAGGACGCCCCGAGAAGCGGTGTTCCAGAGGTAATAGGGCCTTGCCTCAAAACGGGTAGTACCTTCGCTGAGCATCCAGGCTATTTTCAGAGAACAGCTTTTTTAGTCATTTGGATTTTCTTCCTTAGTGACCCTTTTACCTTATTTTACATTCAATTTTCACGCCAGAGTGTCTCCTTGTTTGTCCTTTGCCTTTTCAGAATTTGACCGAAAGAGAAATAGTATCTGGGCACAATTTAATAAAGTCTATTAACCATTCTTTTTTGAAATGCTTACTTTTTTAAAACCAGACATTGTAGAATACTTAGGAATTTAAATTTAAATTTAAATTCCTGGGTCATTTTACTCAAACCCTGGTAGAGCCTTCTTTTTTTTGCATTGATCAGTGTCTCAGATTAGAAGGTGAAGGTGCCAGCTATCCCGGAACAGCAGCACCTTTTATGTGACGGGACGTTACTCTCCACCTTGCAGGCTACATCAGTAGCCTAGGGCAGGAATGATGCTTCCTCCATCATCTCAGGCCTTCTGCCCTGCAGTCCTTCTGTGCTTCTATTGTGTTAACTCATCATCCTCAGAATGTGTTGAAGTCTATCCGCTAGTACCATGTGGCTATGGGAGCTCCAGGAATCCTGTCTCCATTTCAGTCAGCAGGAAAGAGCACAAAGGCCACACTAACTTCTTGCTGTCGTGCTTGTCCGTCTCTACTCACCATCAAAGCTCATACTACAGTGTTTCATGAAGAATTAGGGCTTTAAAAAATTTCTCTGAGTTTTTGTCTCATGTAATCTGCATAAAGGCTAGTTTTCTGGCTCAAGTTTTTCTTGGTGAAGCATTCAGGAAACAACTAATACATTAAAAAAATCATTGGAAAAACATTTTAAACTTTTTCTGAATTGCATTGACAAAGACCAAAGGGAATCTAATCATAACCTACTAGAGAATTTAAAGTCGTCTTTTTCCAATTCTCTTAAAACCTTACACACACACACACATACAAAGTTTAACTCCCCATACCTCCTGCCAGCCTAAGCCCAGCAGCCTTTCCGGCTCACTTCCTGATCTCTTCACAAGTTGCTATCTGCTCATCCTTTTGCTGAGCAAGCAAACCAGTCAGTACAACTTCAGCACTTTCCCTGTTACCTCAGTGCTCCAGAAAATCTGGATTGATCAAATTGCCCTTAATGTCCAAAGGTCTAGAAGGGTTTGTGAATTCTCATTTATTAATTTTGCTAAGCCTGGACACTTGTAATAAAATGTATAATCCTAAAATTCCTTATATGTAATCCCCCAATCCAAATAGCTTTGAAAACAAAGTTTTCTTCCAGCTTATTTGACAGGAAAATATGACCTAAACTTCGTGAGGATATTTATAGTCTCCATATATCTCACTTAGTGTAAATATTTTTATATTTCATAGAGAAATAAGACAATATTATACATAATATGGTATCTTTCTAAAGCCCTCATCTGAATCTAAAATAAACCATTGAGAGGAAGGATTATTTGCAATTATTTCCTGTATAATGCTCTATTTTATTAGGAATTTAGGAGTTCATCATTTAGGAATAAATTCCTAATTTTAAGAGTAAGCAAAATTTTCTTTCACTATTTTTAAAATCATTTATTGTACAAACATATACATTAGCTGCTGGAGAACTTATATGCTTCAAGAAATAGACTATGTGGTATGTTAAATAAAATTACTTCAAACCTGACAAGAGAGACAAAAAAGAAATCGCTGAAGAAATTTTTCCATGGGTAACTGAGTATTGTAGACCCTCTCTGGGGTTGTTGATTTCATGGGAGTGTGTAATTTTGATTGACTTTCTATTAATTAGGTATTTTTTTTACAACTCTATAAGATAAGAATGCAGATGATTCTTTTCTGAAAACAACGCAAATATTCCTGATAAGGCAAATGCATTTTGTCCTGTAGAGATTCAATAAATTTTTATCAGTTGGAAAAGCTCATTCCAAATATTATAGTTTGTTGCCATGTGTGATATTAAACAGTTTTACATCAGTTAGAGAAGTCACTTCAGAAGGCCTTTGACTTGAATATTTAAATCTGTTCCTCAAATTCTTCTTTGAATTAGTTGTAGCATCTAAATGTTTCTCTGATTAATGAGCTGAATAAAATCTTTGACACATTTCATCATATACTTATATGAGTATAAGTATACTTGTATGAGTATACGATTACCCTTTCGAGAACCACACTTTAAAAGGTGCTTGCAGAGGCGCCTGGATGGCTCAGTTGGTTAAGCGGCTGCCTTTGGCTCAGGTTATGATCCCAGGATGCTGGGATCGAGTCCCACATTGAGCTCCTTGCTCAGCGGAGAGTCTGTTTCTCCCTCTGCCTGCTGCTCCTCCTGCTTGTGCTCTCTCTCTCTGACAAATAAATAAATAAAAATCTTAAAAAAAATGAAAGACACTTGCACTATAGGAACTCACATATTTGTTGAGTGAGGATAAGCTATGGAAAAACTATAAAGGCAGTATATAGTAAATGATAAATTATTGGTATGGATTTGAGGAGCTCTACTAGAGCTTCTGTATGTTTATGTTCTCTTTTATTTGTCCCGCATTGCTCTTATTTACCTAGCAGACAATTCTGCTTTGCATTATGGAGCGCCTGCGAAGGAAATACACATGGGACAGGACCCTTATGCTCAAGTTGTTAACAGTCTCGTGTGGGAAAAAGACATGAACAAATCATCATAAAGTAATGATAACGGATGGAGAAGAGAAAAACAGTTAAGACCTTACTGGGTCCTTATGCTTTATGTGTATTATGATGCTTTATATTATTTTATTAAAACCTAAAATTTTGGAGGAACTTTACCCCCAATTTTATCACTGGAGCAGGGACAACCAGCTAATTGCTATAATAGTCAGGAAGAAGAAGGTGGGAGCCCCAAAGCGATTTCACATGTTTTAATTCCTGAGACTAAAGCTTTTCCCTCAACTCCCTCTTAGTTCATTTGGTTGACTCTGGACTCAGGCTAAACCCCGGCCCCCAAAGACCCGCAGAATGGGAACCTGGGCGCAGGCCTGGCAGATATGGACACGGTGTTGCTACAGGACTTTGGAGTTTTTCTCAGGTTTGGACATAATCAGGATCAGCTAATTGCTGGGAAGCTGTAGATCTGGGAGGTCAGAGATAAGGTAAGGTTAGTTCACTTCCTTGAGCTTTCCAGTTTTCAGAGTTTGGTGCTGCCTGGACACCTGGTATGTGACAAATGAAGGGGAGATGGCCCTCAGAGCTGGGTTTCAGTTGGGAAAGCACTACAGATCAGTCCACCCGCCCCCGCCTGCAAAGCTGGAGGGCGTTGCAGAAGCTGGACTATAAACACTAGCAAATATTGACAGAACTGAGGGTCATGGCTAAACCCTCTGGTCCAAGTCTGTGGTAGCAGGATAAGCTACAGGAACTGGTCAACTAGATTTGCATAACGGAACCCTGGCAGTTTCTAAAACCGAGTTTTAAACTGGCAGCTTGTCAGCCTCTCCCCCGCTTCATGTTTTTGCAGAATCCCTCCCAGCTCTAATTTCCTCATAGCTGTTCAGATTTCCTGCTGTAGCATTTTTTTTTTAAATTCTTCCAAGGGAGAGAAATCAGGACAACCTCTTCTCTAGGAGGGAGGTGGTTGGTATCCTAAGCTGTGGAGAAGATCTGCTTTGATCCAAACCAGGTGTTGTCTGGTTTGTGTTCATTCCTGCCTGGGCCAAGCAACTGATCACAAGATGTTTTTTTGGTTTGTGTGCTATCTTGTGGTTGTGTGGCTGATTTCTGCCTCAGATGGTGCGTATGCTTAAGTCTGGTTTATAAGGCACTTGATATCAGGTCTAAGGTTTTAATGAAAGTTTAATCAATGAAATGTATTTCCTTTATTGGAAAATCTCAAATTGCTTGGCCTAATGCAATGTACTCAGAGGGGCTTAGTAAAATATTTTTTTTTAAACAAAATTTATTTATTTGACAAGGAGGGAGTAGGAGAGAGAGTGGGGGGACATAGCAGAGGAAGAGGGAAAAGCAGGCTCCCCACTGAGCAGGGAGCCCGATGCGGGGCTCGATCCCAGGACCCCGGGATCATGACCTGAGCTGAAGGCAGGGGCTTAATCGGCTGAGCTACCCAGGTACCACAAGGGCTTAGTAAATATTTAATGATGATTCTGCTTTATGACATGGGTGGTTAACAGTTAACTTTCCTTTTCTGTTCTGGGAGCAAAAAGTACCAGTTTCAAAATATTGAGAGGTCTTATCTGTTATACACTCCAGGAATATTCTTTGGAAAGGAGATTGTTTCTTTAGAGGTAGATAACTTATGGTTGAAATTTTTTTTATTTAAAAGATTTTATTTATTTATGGCTGAGGTTTTTTTTTAATTTAAAGATTTTATTTATTAATTTGAGAGAGAGTGAAAGCAAGAGAGATCACAGAGGGAGAGGGGGAAATAGACTCACTCACCACTGAGAGGAGAGCCTGATGTGGGGATCCATCCCAGGATCCTGGGATTATGACCTGACATAATCCCAGATTATGACAGTCGCTTAACTAACTGAGCCACCCAGGCGCCTCACTTATAGCTGAATTTGAGTGAATCCAGTTACCCTTTTGAAAACAAAACTTTGGGAATTATTGGGAGAGGAGGGAAGTGGATGGACATAGACATGGAAGAGTATCCATAATCCAGCAAAAAGACACTTGGATGGTGGTCTAACAAGGCTTCCTCATGGCACATGACATGTCAGGTGAATCTTTTTCCTTCCAACAGAGAGCTGTCCAGAACTTCCCTCAGTGGAAAATGGCATAATTGTTATAAAGGAGGTAGAAGGACAAATTCTGGGGACCTGCCTTTGTATCAAGGGCTACCACCTGGTAGGAGAGAAAACCTTATTTTGCAATGCCTCTGTGGAGTGGAATGCTCCTGTTCCCATATGTCGCCGTAAGTTTGATTTTCCTGTTTCTTTGTACATCTTGTCATCCTACTGGATTCTTTCAAATCCTACTTCCCGTTGGCCATGTTCAAACTGTATAAGAAAAGAATTCTCGGGGACCTGGGGGGCGCAGTGGGTTAAAGCCTCTGCCTTCGGCTCAGGTCGTGATCCCAGGGTGCTGGTATCGAGCCCTGCATCAGCTCTTTGCTCAGTCCCTCTCCCTCTGCAACTCCCCCTGCTTGTGCTTGTGCGCTCTCTCTCTCTCTCTCTCTCTCTCTCTCACTGTGTCAAATAAGTAAATAAAATCCTTAAAAAAAAAAGAAAGAGAAAATTCTCAATTTCTATGAATTCATTTTTAAAGCACTTGGGTGGAACTTCTCTTAGAAGCTACAGGATCGGCTCTTGCTCAGTACTAATTCCATTAATTGATTAATTGATTGAATTAATAGACACAACCCTGCAGGAAGAAAAGAATTTCTTCCATGTATTAAAACTACCTTTTTTGGGCTACAATTTGTTTAATACTATACTCCTTTAAAATTTTTATGTTATAAAAAATCTAAACATATACAAAAGAGAGAAGATTAAAATCAACTCATACATACTTACCACTTATCTTCCACAATTACCCACATATAACTAATCTGTCTTCTACAGTTCTGCTTTGCATTATTATTATTTTGAAGTAAATATGTCATGTTGTATTTTATCCATTATATAACTTTTGAACTGGGAAAAATTTATGTTCTCAACGTACAAATGGGGTAACTGAGGTCCAAGTGACTTGCTCAAGTTCACAACACTCATTTGTGGTGTCTATAGAGACAGAGAATCACTAGTTAATATCCTCATAATTACTACTATTTTTAGGACTAGCTCGGTTTGTTCTCTAGACCAATATGTCTGTCCTTTATTTATATGACCAAAGTCATCTCTCTCTGCATTTTCTCCTGGATTTTTTGTTTGTTTGTTTTTGTTTTTGTTTTTTTAACCTGAGAAAAGCAAAATGAAACAAAGTAAAACATGACAAGTGACGTGTACTTTTGGCTGGATGGAAGGAAGGGAACACTTGCCTCAAACATAGAGTGAAGAGTTTTCAGCAGGGCTTGACAGGAGGATAAACACACTATTGATCATTTCCAGTTCTATGCTTAATTACTTCTCATAAGTTCAAGTGCCAACTCTCACCCTTGTGCATGACCAAGACCTTTCCTGCCACTCTCAGGCCAACCGGCTCTTTTCACATCCAGTGTCGGTAGGGTTTGGTACTATGTGCTAGTGCAGTTTGCAGTCCCTATTAAAAAGCTCTGCTTTAGTTCTGATTTCTCAGCAAAGCCTGAGAAATTCTTGCTTTTGCAGGTGTCCTTTCAGATCACTTCCGCTTTTCTTCTCAGTGGGCCACTGTCCTGACCCTATGCTGGTGAATGGCGAACCCAGTTCCCTGGGTCCTGTCAACGTGAATGACAAAATCACTTTTAAGTGCAATGAGGACTACATTCTTAAGGGCAGCAATTGGAGTCAGTGCCTGGACAACCACACCTGGATGCCTCCCTTGCCTGTCTGCAAAAGCAGTAAGTAGGAGAGAAATAAGTGTAAATCCAAAGACACCGAGCAGATAACCTCATTTTCCGTGCCTGGGAAGCTTTGGGAGCTAGGAAGCAGCCAAGAAACAAGTGGGGCTCACAGAGCCAAGCCTCACCTTGAATGATGTGTTCCAGTGAAACAAACAACATCCAAACAATAAACCCTCCCCCCCACACACACCTTTAAATTAGGATTCCTGTCCTACTAAGTCCAACATGGGATAGTTTGGGGCATCTGACATTTTAAAAAAAAAATTTCATGATAATGACTTAAAGTTCTTATTTGAAGAATACACAAAAACAGGGGACAAGGACAGTAACTTATCTAATGCCAAATTACACAAAATAAGAGTTGAAAGAAATTACCTCCTTCTAATAGTAATTCACGACTCTCAGAGAGACTTAGTTGGATGTGTGTGTTGTTTGTTTCATGACTTTTATGTTTATGTAGACATTTTAAATAAAAGCATACACACATATCGACACAGGTATATACATACAAAAAATGGGAATTTATATATTTTTAATTGCTTATTTTTGGTGTAACATTACACATGGAAATCTAGTTCAGATCAGTATATGTGGCTCTATCTTCTGCTTTTATTTTTTTTCTATCTCCTGCTTTTAAATAATAATGTGGATGTGCCATAATTTATTCCACATCTCTGTGTTGATGAACATTTATTCTATTTCTGTATTTTTGCTATTATAATGCTGCAGTGAATGTTATATACATGTATACACATACATATATTTTTGTGCCTATGCTATTATTTCTTTAGTCTGGATTCTTAGAATGATTGGTGGGTCACCGGATATATTTATTTGTCAAATATACTTAGAGGATCCAAGAAATTCTCCTAAAAATGTTATTCTTGGACACTAAATAATATTGAAAAATCAATAGTATCACTTTCTAATAATTATGAGATGAATATTGAAATGTAAAATAATTTCACTCATGAGACCTATATGAAAATTTACTGAAGGACATAAAATAATACTTAAATAAAAGAAAAGATATGCCATGACCCTGGATGGATGGACTGGAATTACAATGTAACTCTGAGCAGAATTTTAAATTTAAAAATATAAAACAAAAATTTAAGTTTATTTGGAAAGGTACATATCTAACATTAAAGATTTATTTAGTGAAAGACTTAACTTTTTAGAGCACTTCTAGTTTTATAATAAAAGTGAAGGAAAGGCACAGAGATTTTCCATATACTCCCCACCCCCACACATGCACATTATCAACACCATTCGCCAGAGTACTACCTTTTTTTTTTCCCAAGGATGAACCAATATTGACATATCATGATCACCCCAAATCCATAGTTACCTAAGTATTCACTCTTGGTGTTGTACATTCAGTGGGTCTGGACATATGCCTAATGGCATATAGCTACCATTATAATATCATACAGAGTGTTTTTGCTGCCCTAAAAATCCTCTGTGTTCCATTTATTCATCTCTCTACCTTCCCTATTTCTCAACCACTGACCTTTTTAATTATAATAATGTTCAATTAGCCAGCATTTGGTACATCATTAGTTTTTGACGTAGTGTTCAACGGTTCATTAGTTGTGTATGAAACCCAGTGCTCATCACCCCATGTGCCCTCCTTAATATCTGTCACCTGATGAGTTCTGAAGGACATCTTAGCAGCTTCCAAAGTTTGGCAATTATGGATAAAGCTGCTATACATATCAGGTGCCCGTTTTTGTGGGGACATAAGTTTTCAACACCTTTGGATAAATTCCAAGGAGTGCAGTTGTTGGATCTTAAGATATTTAGCTTTGTGAGAAACCATCATACTGCCTTCCAGAGTGGTTATATCATCATGCTTTCCCACCAGCAATGGAGGAGGAGTCTTGTTGCTCCACATCCTCATCAGCATTTGGTGTCATCAGTGTTCCAGATTTCGGCCATTCCCATAGTTGTGTAGTGGTATCTCATTGTTGTTTTAATTTACATTTCTTGATGATGTACACTCATTTTCCATCTGTATATATCGTCTTTGGTGAGGTGTCTGTTAAGGTCTTTGGCCCGTTTTTTAATCAGATGGTTTTCTTCTTGTTGAGTTTTAAGAGTTCTTTGTATACTTTGGATAATAGTCCTTTATAAGATTTGTCTTCTGCAAATATTTTCTCCCAGCCTATGGCTGGTCATCTCATTCTCTTCATATGTCCTTCATAGCACAGAAGTTTTAAATTTTAATGAATTCCAGTTGATTAACTGTTTCATGGATGGTGACTTTACAGCTGTATCTAAAATGTTGTCCCTCCCTATACCCAAGGTTGTCTAGGTTTTCTCCTACATTACCTTCTAGGTGTTTCATAGTTTTGTACTTTACATTCAAGCCTATGACCCATTTTGAGTTAATTTTTGTGAAGGATATAGTAGATAGGCAGTTTAAAAACATGAACTATAGTTAGCCTCTTTTAGGGAGTTTGTAGTTACTTAAAACATGCATATATAGGACACACAGTTAAATTACATGCACATACCATCAACATTAGCTTGAACAAGTTTAAAGTATTTATTTCCACCAGCCTTTTCTGTTTTACTCTTTAAATTCAATACTTCCTATCCTTGCTCAGAAATGTAGAATCTCTGTCTTTTTGCCTCAGTTCATTGCCCAATTTTAGGGGATGCTCCTGAGGTCCCTGATTAAAGCAGATTTTTTTCTGTTTAGAAGCAAGATCTATATCATCTCCTTCAGTTCAAAACTGTATGCTTAAAAGTCACCAGAAAAGCTGTATAAACTGGAGATCCTTAATCAATTCGTTAAAATTCTTTTTCCTTTCCTCTATACAGCTTTTGAACTCAGTTTTTGATCTTTTTGTTTAATTCAATTAATTAACATATATGTATTGTTTCAGGGGTACAGGTCTGTGATTCGTCAGTTTTATATAATACCCAGTGCTCATTACAACACATATCCTCCCCAATGTCCATCACCCATTTACCCCATTTACCCCCTCCCCCCAACCCCCTCCCATCCAGGAACCCTCAATTTGTTTCCTATGATTAAGAGTCTCTTATGGTTTGTCTCCCTCTCTGGTTTTGTCTTGTTCTATTTTTTCTCTCTTCCCCTATGATCCTATTTTGTTTCTTAAATTCTACATATCAGTGAGATCATATTGTAATTGTCTTTCTCTGATTGACTTATTTCACTTAGCGTAATACCCTCTAGTTCCATCCCTGTAGTTGCAAATGGCAAGATTTCATTTTCTTAGATGGCTGTGTAATATTCCATTGTATATATATATATATATATCACATCTTCATTATCCATTCATCTGTCAATGGACATCTGGGCTCTTTAAAAGTTATTAACTGCTTGAAGAAAACACTTGTGTTGTAGAAAAATACAAAGAAAACATTTAATTATCTACAAACCTACTAAGAAATAACAGAATACTTTGATATGTAATCTTCAGGGTTTTTTTCTGTTCATATATGATTATGCATGAGTGTGTTTTACAAAAATAGTCTTATATGCTGCTGTTATAATTACATTTATTAGTATGATTTTATTTATTTATTTGACAGAGAGAAAGAGATCACAAGTAGACAGAGAGGCAGGCAGAGAGAGATGGGGGGGAGCAGGCTCCCTGCTCAGCATTGATGCAGGGCTCAATCCCAGGACTCTGGGATCATGACCTGAGCTGAAGGCAGAGGCTTAACCCACTGAGCCACCCAGGCGCCCCCTAATACATGTTCTTTTATGCTTGCTGGTTTTGCTCAAAACTATTTGTTTTGAAGGTATTTATGTTTCCCTAAGTATTCACCTACATAATCATTCTTAATTTACCCTTTACTCCTGATCCCTGTGTTTAGACTCAATGTCAGAGCTCAAAGGGACTTTGGAGATAATATTATTTAAGCTGCTCATCTTATAGCTTAGAAGAAAGCCAAGAAGGATGAAATAATGGTTAGTGGAAGAGCCAGAACTGAAATTCACAACATCTACTACTTTGTCCAGCTCTCTTTATAGACTCCTCTTGTTTGCTCCCCACTGTATTCTCCCTGTTTCTGAAGCTCTCATATTGCACAATTCTGTCCCATGAGAATGCCAGTGTCCTTTTGAACTCAGACCATTTATCTCCTGTCTCAGGGAGTTACTTCTCCTACGTCTACCTCTGGTTTAATTTTTTGATTCTTGTCCCCTGACAGTCTCTGCAACGTAAACTTCCTTTCCTCAAGCTCATGCCAATCAGAAAGCTCTCTCAAACTGTTAATGACTCAGAGGATAAGCAAGGGGAGGGGGTCTTTCCCATGGATAAATACGATTTGACCAGAAGGAAATGAACGGAGAAAGTGTCCCCAGATCCCACATGGATGGTTATACTTAGAGGGTGCTGTTAATTGAGTACAACTCGTAACTGTCTCTCTTGTACTCTTGTTTCTCAGGAGACTGTGGCCCTCCTGGGAATCTAGCTCATGGCTATTTTGAAGGAAGAGATTTCAACTCAGGATCTACCATTACTTATCACTGTGAAGACAAGTAAGTATATGCAGCAGCCGTTCAAATGCAAGAACTTGCGCATTGACCCATAGCATTGTTTTGGGGAATGACCCAGTCCATCTCACCTAATGCCCCTATGTCCTGCTGCCTCAGCAATCTGAGCTCATTCTGATTTTCAGAGCTGCTTTAGCTCACTACCAGCTCTCCCCAAGCTCTAGAAGATAGACTGATCCCCTTATTTATCCTAGAGAAGATATTTAAAATGTATGGTTTTCTAAAGAATCTTGGAATAAAAGCTCAAAGAAATATAGACCATATGGAACTGCAGAAAGAGAATGATTTATTATTCCAGCCTGCCCCCCAACAGATTTGTATATATATATTTGAGTATATATATTCCTTAAAAAAAAAAAAAGAAAGAAAGTAAAAGAAGGAGAATGATTTAATACATCCTAATTGAAGTCAAACCTTAATTTAGACTACCTAATCACCCACCTTACAGATCTACTCTTTCCTTGGCTTCATTCAGTCTTCCTACCTCAGGGTCATGTCTCCACATTAGTGGAGCATTTCAGTCTCATTATATACTTCTAGTGGACTTTGCAGTCAACTCTCGTGTTTTTCTGATTAAAAGCTGTAGCTCCTTTGTAAGATTTATTTGAGGGTTATCTCCAGCTTTCCACTCCTCTTTAGAGGGTGGATGGCAGATGCTTTTTTAAATTATTGAATGATGACGTGCTTCCTCCCTCTCCCTCCCCACCCAACAACTGTGTAAACACACATATTCAGAATTTCTCACTTCTCCATGTTTTATAGGTTGCATTGTCACTTGGATCCTCTCTACGCCCAAGGAGAATGGTTTTAGTTGATTATTACTGTTTGGTAATACTGAAATCACTTAGCATGCATTAAGGCTCAAGGAAGTGGATTCTATCACAGTAGGAAATACTGAAATACAACTATACAGAACCAGCGTTGGTTGCCCAGTTTAGAAAGTGTTGTTGCCATTCTTTTTTTATTTTATTTTATTTTATTTTATTTTATTTTATTTATTTATTTGACAGACAGAGATCACAAGTAGGCAGAGAGACAGGCAGAGAGAGTGGGGAAGCAGACTCCCTGCCGAGCAGAGAGCCTGATGTAGGGATGTAGGAATCGATCCCAGGACCCTGGAATCATGACCTGAGCTGAAGGCAGAGGCCTTAACTCACTGAGCCACCCAGGCACCCCTATTGTTGCCATTCTGACTTCTGTTCAGGTACCACTTAGTGGGCACGCGGGACCAACAGTGCGTTGACGGGGAGTGGAGCAGTGCACTTCCCATCTGTGAATTGATCCAGGAAGCTCCCAAGCCAATTCCACAGACTGCGTTTGAGAAGGCACTTGTAAGTAGTAGGCTGTCATCTGTCTTGTTCACAGTGGTATCCCCAGGGCCTGGCATCACTCCTGGTGCATGCTCAGTTGATATCTGAAAGGTTGTTACAAGGGGGCTCATAAACTGTTAACTCACATTTTTACATACCTGAGTTCTCATTCACCACCATCATCACCAACACCTCATGAGGGCTTGTTGGTAAAAGTTAAGGACTTGTGGACTTTATAGAGCAAGCTTTCTAAGCTCGTGTCTTAGACTTACACTTATTGCTGTGAAAAGTCTCTGAAATTCTTCTAGATTCCAAAAACCATGGATCAGGTCATTTTCATTGAGATCCCTCTTTTTGTTTATATTTATCGCTGAGATAATAATAAGTATATAAAAGCCAGAAGATTTAAAGGATTTATCATGTTGAAGACCCAGCTTTGTATTTAAGCTGGCCAGGTTTTCAGCCCCCAGTCAGGGACCCAAGCACTACTCATTAGCTTCAGACGATACAGCTGGATCTCAGTTCTTAGGTTATAACTTAATTTTTTTTTCTTTTCTTCAGTTTGCCTTTCAGGAAAATAAAGAACTTTGCAAAGCCATAGAGAACTTTGTGCAAAGACTGAAGGAAAATGACTTAACAATGGAGGAACTAAAATACTCTCTGGAAAAAAAAAAAGCTGAGTTAGAGACAAAAATGTTGTCCTGACGTTGTAACTGAGCAGACTGGGTAATCTGGGTAATAGAAATGCACCTAGGAATAAATTTTCTCTTGGTTCTAAAACTAGTTTTGGAGTTTTCTCTCATTAGACTGAAACTCAACTTCACAGAAATCAACTGTAGTTGCATAAACCACCGTGTGTGTGTGTGTGTGTGTGTGTGTGTGTGTGTTTCTCAGAATGTGGAAACACCAAGTGTGGCCATAGTTTGTTTAAGACCAGAATTAGCACATCAATGGGGACTGGAGGGTCTAATTTCCTGTCTGTAAGGAGAATGGGAAGCTCAGATCTCAGCTAAGGGTATGCCTCATATTTTAATGAGAGATCAATGGTGAGGCAAAACATAAACTCAGATTAACCAAGACCTATGAAGCAAAAATTAACCTCTCATTTTGAAAAAATAGGTTCACAACAGTTACATCCTTGAAATGACCTGTTGAGACAAAAATAGAATTAGGACTTAAACTCTCATTGAGTTTCCCCTATATCTTGTTTATGAAACCCAAATTTCTAAATCTTCCTCAGTAATATTGCTTACCACCTCTGGATGAAACCTATTCCTGCCTGGTAAATTTGAGATGGTAAAATATAAGTGAATATATTTTCTTTTTAGAGGGCAGAAGAAGCCAGAATCCTGAGGTAGGATAGGTTTTCCTATCATGATATCATACTGAGACGATATGACAAACTTCTGTGTCTCACTCTGACCCCTATCAAAAGACATAGTAAATCTGGATGAAATACAAACAAAATACAAAAGAGAGCTTGAAATAATGGAATGTCCCTAGATGAAATTATGAAGGAGAATAGAAATAGGAATAAAAAACTCTCAAGTAACCCACATTCTATTAATAGACACAGGACAGGTATACATACATCATTAATTCAGAGCAGTTAGAACAAAATAAACAACTTTCACAGAACAGTGAGCTAGGGAAGTTCAGCTTCAAGAAGGAGACCGTCTCTCTGGAAGAGGAGGAGGCAGGAAAATCATTAAGAAAAGTCACAGTTCTTGGGCTTTTAAAAGTGAGTAGGATTGAGAGACAAAGTTTAAAGAAGATGTTTGTTGCAAGTGGAAAGATTTGAGAAATGTAGTAAGAGCATCATAAAGAGCCATAAGCTTTTGAACCAAGTAAATCCACTCCTCAGCTTCATCTAACTTGAGCAAAATGATTTCTAATTTGAAGCTATTCATTCTACTATTGTATATATTGTCCATACTGGGGAGACCTTGTGAACATTTGAAATGTCCAATCTTAGGAATGTTTTTAGTAAATTATGGCCCATCAAATGTAATGCAACCTCTTATTGTAAATATCAACAGAAAATCTTAAAAATATAATCCTGAGTACAAGTAGAATACAGAATAATAAGAATTTATGATCACATTTCTATAAAACCTTTCTTTTTATAGAGGAGGACGAGGCAGTAACAGGCACAGAGGAAAACAGGTATCTTAGGATGGTGAAACTCCAGGTGTTTGTTCTCTTAAAGTTTTTTAATTTTTTTTTAAGATTTTACTTATTTATTTGAGAGAGAGAGAAAGAGAGCATATGAGCAAGGGCAGAGGAGAGGGAGAAGTCGACTCCTCTGCTGAGCAGGGAACCTGATGTGGGGCTCGATCCCAGGGCCCTGGGATCATGACCTGAATGGAAGGCAGATGCTTAACCAACTGAGCCACCCAATTTCTCCAAGTCCTTTAATGTTTTAAATTGAGTTTTTAATAGTAAGTTTTAAAAAACGTGTTGTGCAGAGAGGCAGGAAAGATGGAGCCTGCTTAGGGAATGGCAGATGGCCTGGTTTGGCCTGGATAAAGCATGGGAAGTGACGAGAGAGAAACGTAGACAGATACATTAAAGCCAGTTGGTGGAGCCTTTTAAAGGGCATATTAGAGAATTTAAACTTTATTTGGTAAACAGTGAGTGGAGATCAAGAAAAGAAGTGAAAATGACAGAACACAGATTTTGCTCACAACAGTGTGTAGTATGGGTAGAAGTAGGAAAGAATAGAGAGAAAGAAACCATAAAAGAGCTATTGCAGTAGTCCATGTAGGAGACAATGATGACTGGAATTGGATGATGGCAGCAGAAACAGAGAAAAAGAATATCAGACACAAGAGACTTGGGAAAATCAAATAAAAACAATTTATCAACTCATTGAACATTGGAGGATGAGGGAGAGGAAGGGTTTAAAGGTGAGTTTGAAATTCCATTCCTGGCAGCCTGAATTATTGTAGGGGTCAGAAGGTGAAGCTTCTGGGCAGAAAACGAGAAGTTCCCCTTTGGATGTGTGGCATGTAATGTACTTGTAGGATGTCTGATGGGCAACAAAAACGTTAAGTCTGCATTTGGGAGAGTAATGAGAGATAACGAGGTGGTTATGGAGCGGTTTTCTTATAAGGTATAGTTAAGGCCATGAGAGTGGTTACGATAATTTTAAGGATAATGAAGAGAAAAATTTTTGGAAAGAGGAATCTGGGACCTATCTATAGGAATGGATGAGAAAGAATAAGAAGAGATAGCAACTAAGAAAGAGCATTTCATGAAAGAGAGGAATCAGAGAAGTTCGGGGTAATGGAAGCCAAAGGAGAGGGGTTTCAGAAAGGAGATCGTGGGTAGTGTTTGGGGCTGCCGAGAAATCACGTGACGAGTTCAAGAAATCACGTGACGAGTTCAAGAAATCTTGGATTTGGAGATAAGGCCTGGCCTGAAAGAGGTGTGTCCCTAAGGGAGGAAGAAGCCAGACTGGAAGGCCATTATAGGAGCGGCTGGGAAGGTTTAATGAGAAACAGTAGGCAGGAAGCCTAAGAAGTTAAACATCTTAGAACAGAAATGGAATTTGAGGTTTTGGCAAGGTTTGAGGAACACTTCAGGATGAAAGATGCATTGAAAATAAGAAAACAAACAGATCTCTTCTGAAGGCAAGAGCAACTAGAAGAGGGGTGCCCCGGTGGTTCAATCAGTTACTGCCACTTCCTGAGGGTGCAGGAGAGAAGAATGAGGCACCAACAAGTCTGCTGTAAGACAGAGGGAGCAAAGGTCAACAGTAGAGAAGACTGTCGCCCAAACAACTCCTTAGTCTCATATTTATTGGAAAGTAGATAACAACCAACAAAGAAGCCGAACTAGGTTACACATTGACCATGAGTCTTGTAGATATGTGAGAAGAAAGGCGAAATATGTCTGGTCACATAGGACGTAACTTAGAGTTGAACAAGCCCATTCAAAGGGATGGTTTGATTAACTGCAGGTGATCTCTGGAGAAGGGGAGTTGACAGAGAAATGAAGCAGGCAGCATTCCACCCTGAGCGGGCCAGGCGTTCCCAGCTGCTCTGCTTTAAGGACCCATATCATCCTCTCCCCCAGAGGCCTGTTGTTAGTACATATTTTTCTTAAGGCTATATTTAAGCATGCCCGATGACCAGTGTAATTTCTCATGGGTTATATTTTAAGCAGTATGTTCTTCTAAGGGATGGTTACAAGTTAAGGGTCTGCCTTGGGCTTAGGTCATGATCCCAGGGTCCTGCTCAGCGGGGTGTCTACTTCTTCTCCCACTGCCCCTCCTCCCACTCATGCACGTGCTCTCTCTCTCTCAAACAAATAAAATCTTTAAAAAAAAAGAGTGGCTAAGAGAGAAAATGTGAGGTGGATAGAGGCTGCTGTAGAATGATTGTTTAGTGGGAGTAGGAGGCAAGGTCACTTGCTGAGAAGAAGCCCTTTAGGTGACCTAGAGAGAAAAATTTGCAACAGTCACTATGGAAAGTAAAGAAAAGCTCTCCAATAGATGGAGAAATGGTATTTTGAAGACAAAACTTTAAAGGTGGTGTTTCCTTCAACTTAGCTCTCAAGACTTGGCACAGTTCAGAATCCTCCTCTACATTCATTCTTGTCAAATTGGCAAATCAGTCTCACCTTTTGATTTGGCTCATGTTTTCTTTACCTCTTATAGCTTCTCATTTTCTTTCTTTTTTTTTTATAATTTTTTTTTTTATTTGACAGACAGAGATCACAAGCAGGCAGAGAGGCAGGCAGAGAGGAGGAAGCAGGCTCCCCGCTGAGCAGAGAGCCGGATGCGGGGCTCAATCCCAGGACCCTGGGATCATGACCTGAGCCGAAGGCAGAGGCTTTAACCCACTGAGCCACCCAGGCGCCCCTTCTCATTTTCATCTACTCATTTTCCACTTTTCATTCAGAGGAAATGAAATCCCGATTCTCTGTCAAAGCCTCTGTGGTGTTTCAACGCCACTCTTTTCTGAGACCTTTATGAGACTTTTGGTGTTTATGACAGAAAAAGTGAAATTTTCAGGAAAAACTGCCCTTTAATAGCTGTGTCCCATCAGTTAACATGTATCGAGTATGGATTATGTTCCAGGCAACTGGGCCCATAGCAGGAAGTCAATAAACTTGTTAAATTCCCCACCACTGTACTGTCTTGGGGTGGAATGAAGACCAGCACAGGGAAAAGTCACCAGTCAGGGAGCTCCAGGAAGGTCTGCTGGACCTAACATCCTAGAAAGTGCGTCAAGGTGGGCCTAGTCTCAGCCCTACAGTATCCAAGTTTTTTAGGCTAGGTGGATTGCGTCGTATAGGTCTGTTTTGAATTTAGGAAAAGAAAAAAAGAATTCTGGCATCAAATTCATACTACCATTCCACTTAGGGGAAACGGTTGGCAGAGAAGAGAAAAAACGATTGCAACATGTTATCAGGAAGCAGGGTTAGTGCCCAGGAAGGGGATTAGGTAAATACTAGTGCTTTATTTCCATTGTTAATCATTCACTGGGCCAATAAAAAGTTTCTGCCCATCCATTAGAACTTAGCCCATCTGTGACCAGCCAGCCACATGGCTGGAATTCAGGGACTTCTTGGTGGTGCAATGACTAGCTAGCTTCAGGGTACTCTGGGAAACTCTCATCTGGGGAAGAACTGAAACTATTACAGATCCAGACAGTTTTTTTCCCCCTTGAGAAACGACCCAAGGGACCACGACTGAGTCTTCTATTTCTTCCTCAGCTACCTGCCAGGTCAGTGGGTTATTTGGGGTGCCTTGGGGAAAAGGCTGG